ATCACATACACAGAATGACATGATTGTGCGTGCCAGCTTTCTTCATGAGAAAAGGTACACTCTGAGAGAAGCATTCCATCTCTGCCTGCAGAATCTGTCAATCTTCTTTTCTTTCTTTTTCGTTCTTTAACATGCCACCCATTTGATTATATCAGCTGCCGTGTCTCCTTGTCTTTGTCACTCAGTCTCACTTCAAAGATGCCGCTCTCCGTCCTTCTCCATGTTCTGCAACACATTTTCATGTCAGCTGAACTTCTCGGTGGCCCCCAGGGGATATGTTGCCCGGGCTTTCCTCCTCCTCCATTAAAACTACCTTCGCCTGTATACCATTTTCAGTTTGAGCCATATTAATAGAGAAGAGAGACAAATATAATTTCTGTTTTGCAACTAAACACTTAGTAAACCTTAACTACAGCCCTTTCGTATGGTTGTTGAATTTTGTGTTGGTTTAATGACAGAAGCTGCATGAGGATATATTATCAGAAGCCTCTCCTGTGGAACATCCCGGGGATAGTCCACCAGTCAGAGTTTGGCACCACTTTGGCCTCTGTGAGACTTACTTCAGATACACATATCTTTGTTTTGTATGACACCGACCTTTGTGTCTCCCTATGTTTCACACTTGTCTCAATCTGGAGTAACCGAAAAGCAAGGCTATTTAAAGAGATTCTTCCAACTTAGGGTCATTTGACCAGGGACTTGGTTTGGCCCAAGGATTGCATTTTGTCTGCGCATTCTTCCGCTGTCCAAGCTGATTTAAGGTGGGAATGTGCTGGGAGCAATAATGTGGGCTTGATTAAGCAGGAACAGCTCTCGTGAGCAGCAGGCAGATGGAGAGCTGAGTCCCCTCACAAAATCCCCGGGCCTCAGGATTGTTGCGGGGGTTAGAGGGGAGCTTTAAATCGTGGGCTAGGGGCGGAGACGAGGTACTTGATGGCCGCATGTGCCGTAAAGTCAAATGTTTGATCTCCTGCCGCCGCCCGGAGGTCAGCGGGGCGCGGGGCTGACAGCTGTATGCTAATGGGAGCTTGAGACGCCTCCACGAGGCGGTGGTCAGTGCGCGTGCAGGGGTGTGCAGGGAGTCCAGGAACGTCACGAGCGTGCCGACGTGGGCTGTGTGACAGTCTGCCCTCTGGACCGGCGTGGCGGGAGCTTCTGCGTGTTCCTGTAGAATTGATAAGACCTTGGTTAAAGATTTATTCTCAATTGAGTTACTTATTGTCACACCTGAACTGAAAATGCTGTTAGATCTCAGTGTGATGAAGATATTTGGCAAACTGGAGTATATGCTGGTAAAAAGAATTTCCTTTTTTCATCTTTGTGTTCTTGTATGGTGCCAAGAACCATATATGTGTGTGTGCATGTATGTATGTATGTATGTTTCAAGTTCCATTGCATTAGTGTGTCAGCATTTGGATGGATACCTTAGTTTGCCTTTTCTGTTGCATTTTTCTCCCGAAAGTGACATCAGCATGCTTTTTCTTCATATATGTGTTTCCACTTTTAGATAAAAGCTCCAATGGTTGTTTTTTTATATCTCAATGCTCGATTGATGTGCCTTGTTATCTACTTCCTCCAATCTACTAGTATGAAATTATTTTTATGGCAAGAGTGTTAAAGGCTTGATAAAATGTGTAAGACTACTTGTAATCTTGGTGGTGGATTAGATTAGAGGAGGGCTGTAATAACTGATTGAAACAATACATTAGTTCATTGTTGTTTTATCTGTACAGTCAATACAAAAGCATTAATGTTTTTACCAGTCAAATGGAAACAAAACTTCTGTGACATGATTAAGAGTGTGAGTGTGTGTGTGTGTGTGTGAGTGTGTGCGTGTGCGTGTGTGTGTGCGTGCGGTGCTTTGGTCATTTGTGCAGCTTGCCATATGCTCAGTATCACCTTACTCCAAAGCAAAGGGTCCACCTACCACACAATGGTGAAACCAGACCTCTGCCTCTTAAATCAGCGGAATCCACTTGTTTCTGTTTTTCACTCCACTGAGCAGGTGGCAGGGTGTACACAGATCTGAACCAGAGAAGCAGACTGACAGTACTAAATGCTGCTGGTTGAGTTTGCAGTGTGTCACAGATCATTCTCTCTGTAAAATGAGTTGGCACCAGATCCTAAAAATGAATGCCTTTGTTCTCACTGCAGGATTTTTCCTATGATGACCCCAAGCTTGAATTTAATGTGGATGCACCGAATGGTGTGGTCATGGAAGGCTACCTGTTTAAGAGGGCCAGTAATGCTTTTAAGACTTGGAACAGGTAAAGAATGGTGGAATTGTTGATTAGTACGTAACCTTTTAAACTATAAGAATGTCGGTGATTTCTTCCTTTTTTTTTTTTTTACAAAAACCTTGAGAGGCTTTGTCTCTTATTTTATATATCAGTTGGTTTCATCTATAAATTTGACATTTTTAGTGTTTTTTCTTTTCATTGTAGGCGATGGTTCTCCATCCAAAACAGTCAGCTGGTCTACCAGAAGAAACTCAAGGTACATGTTAACTTTTTATGAGCACCATTTTGTTTGGGTTTGTTAAAGCAACGCAATTGAATTCAAATTAAACTGAAAGCTTATAGGTTTTAATCTCAAACCATGGCATGGGTTTAAAATTTGAAGCTGAATAAAACTGACATAAAGTGGTCGATGTAACATTACAACATTATGGATCCTTGTCACTTTTTCTTTTCTTTTCTCCAGAAATGTGATTTTTGTGGTCTGTTTCATATTGCCTATGATATTCATTGAAGAAAAGAAAATGCTTGCGGATTCTTATGGGTTAAGCTGAGAGCAGTTCTGACATTCCACTCTGCCACTGACAGGATTCCTTGACAGTAGTGGTTGAGGATTTGAGGCTGTGCTCTGTCAAACCATGTGAAGATAATGAGAGGAGGTTCTGCTTTGAGGTGGTTTCACCCACAAAGTAAGTGTGTTTGCCAGTGGGGGTTTTTCTCCAACCGAAATCATTTAATTTGTATCGTCATGATGACTGAACTAGATTTTAACCAATACAAATAATATACTAAGACATTTCCCAAATGGGTCCTTCAGGAGCTGCATGCTGCAAGCTGAGTCTGAGAAGCTGCGACAGGCTTGGATTCAGGCAGTCCAAGCAAGCATCGCCTCGGCATACAAAGATATCGCTGACAACTATTACATTGAGGTGCCAGCACACATGCAGTCAAATAAAAGGCATTTCTATAATGCCAACTTGATCATCGGATGTAATTAAAAGTCTTTATGTGACCTGTGCTACAGCGTTTGGACCGCACGGCCTCGCCCTCCACTAGCAGCATAGACTCGGCCAGCGAGCCCCGGGAGAGAGGAGAGAGGGCTGACAAAGGAGTTCGGGGAGGAGGAGAGAGTCTCCTCCAGCGGGTGCAGAGCCTGCCGGGCAACGAGCTGTGCAGCGACTGCAGCCAAACAGCTCCCTGCTGGGCCTCAATCAACCTGGGCGTGCTGCTCTGCATCGAGTGCTCAGGGATCCACAGGTAACTGCATCGGGCGCGGACGTAGCTTCAGAAGTTGGGAAGACTTAGGCAGTGGAAATGCTGACCCACCATGGCATTTCGCAAGACCCAAGCTAGTTATGCCGGTTTGATATAGTTTCTTTTGTTTCCAGTGAAGCAATGTGTTGCATGGATTCAGTTACGTCTGTGGTAAAGATGAGTCCTAGCAGTGTTTCATTTCCTTTTATTTGAATTAGATTTTGATTGACCTATAGGAGGCTTTTAAGTAACAGGACAGTGCAGGTTTTGGGGCATTTTAGGAAGATTTCCAGGGTATAGATTTTCTATTACAGGGATTTCTACCAGAACACTGAGCTTTACTTAAAGTGAAAGTAAAGAACAGAAAAAGAATTGCTGCTAAATGAACTCATGTGCTTTATGTCCTCCTTCCCTATTTCTTCCTGTCTCTTTCAGGAGTTTAGGCGTCCATTTCTCCAAAGTGCGGTCACTGACGTTAGACTCATGGGAGCCAGAATTACTCAAGGTGCGTCTCCCAAACACATTTGTCTGCTGCCTACCTTGTAGATGGGTTTTACTTTTTCTTTCAGCCATGGCTTGATTTGTTCTTTTAGTATTAAACAACACTGCTGTTCTTTTAATAGCTCCTTCTAAATATGTTCCTTTCCGTTTTCAAATATTTCTTATCTTCTTTTCTTGTTGTATAGCTCATGTGTGAATTAGGAAACACTGTGATCAACCAGATTTATGAGGGAGCCTGTGAGGAACTAGGAGTGAAGAAACCTGGACCCACCAGTTCAAGGTAAGTCGTCATACTTTAGTGATTTAAATACAGGAAGTTAGTAGTTTGTTGCAGTCAATTTTTCTTTGTAACTGACTGGTCATCTTAGTTTCATTTTCTTGGAGTTTGATATTATATAATCTTTACCTAAACCATATCAGTTTTAATAAAAATGTAAAAAATCTTCATACCAAATAACAGACTGAACATATCATATATATATATATATATATGTGTGTGTGTGTGTGTAAGTATTATGATATTCTTCTTGCAGGCAGGAGAAAGAAGCCTGGATAAAGTCTAAATATGTGGAAAAACGCTTCCTGAAGAAGATGAGTGGGAGTGAGGCATTGATGGAGGGAGAGAGGAAGTCCCGCCTGTGGACGGTGAAGAAGTGCCAGCGACACAACAGCTCCGTTCGGGCCCCCAACAAGGCCCGCAGGAAATACCACCGCTACGAACCCGGGAGCGCCTCGGCCGCAAACCTCACAGCAGGTCATTAAAAGAAAAGCACGCCCACTGTCATTTAAGCAGCACATTCCCAACACGCAGAATGAAATGTGGATCATGTATTTTGTGTCTCTGCAGCAGCTGCAGCAAAGTTTCGGCGGGACTCCCTGTTCTGTCCAGACGAGCTGGACTCCCTCTTTTCGTACTTTGACACTGGCTCTGGCCCTCGCAGTGAGTCCCCAACACAGTCACCTGCACAGATGCCATGCGTTTACAGCACAAAGTAGATATGACGAAGGATTTGGATCCACTTGACTGAATTTAATGACGCATATTTTATTAGCATTTCCGCTTTTACTGCTGTGCTGCCACTTTTAGTGACACGTGCAGTTTTGTTTTGTGCAGTGTGAGGTTGTCAATGATTATTGAAGATGACTGTAGCTGGTAATGATTAACGTGTCCGCGTCTTGGCGTTGCTTGGCCCCGCAGGCCTGAGCAGCGACAGCGGCTTGGGAGGAAGTACTGACGGGAGCACTGACATCCTGGTTTTTGGCTCCGTGGTGGACAGTGTTACAGAGGAAGGTAATAAAGTAATATACGATCCTCCATAAAAGCAGATAAAAATACTCTTGTATTATTGTTCTTAAAACCATTGCCCTGCTGAAATTGCTCTCCCACAGATGAGGAGTCTGAGGAGTCCTCCAGTGGCGAGGTGGAGATTGAACAGGAGGTGTCTTCGGACCCCGAGGACCCGAGGGAACTACATCCTGGGGCGCTGCTCCACCGTTCTTCCCGTCTCCACAACTTACCACTTATGGCTGAGGCATTGGCACATGGTGCCGATGTGCATGCTGCCAGCGAGGAGGGGGAGGGAAAAACACCACTCATTCAAGCAGTGATCGGGGTGAGACAATGTGCCCCCTAATAACATATTAAGACTTGGGAGGTAATAACATGTGTTTTCATCTGCTTCATACTCTCATGTTACTCACTAGGGTTAAAACTTAAATGGGTATAATTCAAAACAAGGAAGTAACTTCAAGCAAAATGTGATGGCAATTTCAACAAAGTGCATGACCCTTGTTTTTATGGTCTGGGAGCAAAGAAACACAAACAGAAAGGCCTCAGTAATGTTTAACAACCATAATTCTACCCCACTTGGACAGTAGACCAAACAAAATATCTGCCTGTGTCTGTGTTTCTTTCAGGGCTCTTTGATAGCTTGTGAGTTCTTGCTACAAAATGGGGCGGATGTGAATCAGAGGGACATGAGAGGAAGAGGCCCGCTGCACCACGCGACCTGCTTGGGGCATACTGGGTATGACATTCCAACAAATAAAACGAACAAGTCATGAGCTGTCGGCTGAATCTCTCTGTCTCCTGTTCACGTTCCACTCTTCATCAAATGATAACAATGTTTGGACTCACCATTGATTTAAATGTCGTTACTCATACATCTCCAAAATACTTTTATTTCAGTTTTTTGAGTTAATGATCAGTTAAGCTTTCTGTCTCCATCCCCCCCCCCCTTGCTCTTTATAGCCAGGTGTGTTTATTCCTGAAAAGAGGAGCATCTCAGACAGAAGTGGATGAGCAGGGTCATGATCCTCTCAGTATCGCTGTTCAGGCTGCAAACGCGGACATTGTTACGCTGTAAGATAATCCACTTCCTTCCTGTTGCTGTTTATTGACATTCACAAATTTACACAATTTTAAGCATTTATTCTGTGTCCAAGCAAAAGCAACTGATACGAAAGAAGATTTTTTCTTAATCTTTTGTTGACAAAGCAGCAACTCCTTCCAAAACATCAACAATTTTATACTTTGCTTCAACACTGATATCTTCTTCAGAGTTCCCCATTTGTCAATGTTTTGCTAATAAAGACAAGGAAATTCACATTCAAATGATTAAAAGCTCAAAGTCAGACCAATTAAACTTGGGTTCTCACACATCTAATAGTTGGTCTTGACATGTCCTTCAATGCTGGTGAGAGTCGCCTTCACTTTGCTTTCTGCCTGCCCTCTCCCTCTCTCTAATATTTCGTCTCCCTCTGCCCCTCCGCCACATCTCTTCTCTAGGTTGCGTCTGGCACGGATGAACGAGGAGATGCGTGAGGCCGAGGCTCCACTGGGTCAACCAGGTCAATACCACAGCAGCAGCCCCACTGAGCAGCAGTATAGGAAATGCATCCAGGAATTCATCTGCCTCACAATAGATGAGAGCTAGTAGTCACTTCTGATCCCGAGGGCCTACCTTATGCTCTGAGAACCTAGCATGGTCATGTTGAAGTTGCCCCTAGGCATTGATCTCAAGCCTGTTGCTTCTGTAGATCAGGGCTTATTGGAAACTTCGTGCAAGCGGAGTGTGTGAAGAGAGAAGGCGACTGTGAGATGCAGCGTATCATAGGGAGAACCCTGATGGAACTTTCTAACTCTACTGACAATAGTCACCACCCCCATTTTCTGCCTCGGCACTACGTCTCTGCTTGTTATTACTTGGCACCACCTATGCTACTGCTAACTATACACAGTGAAGTGACATCTGCTTTTTTGGTGTTTTGCTAATGGGGTTATCCTTTAACTTACCATAATGTGGTGTGACCTCCTGTTGAGGGCATAGATCTAATGTTTGCTGACAGCTGTTACATCTGATGAAACTTACTAACTTTAACCCTCTACACTTTATATCTATTCAGACTGTTTGTCACATCCAGTCTACCCATCTCTTCTTGACCAGAGATGTAAATAAACATATTTAGCCATTTAGAAACTGTGTACTGTGGCATGAGGTGAAAAAAAAGGTATTTTGTTCTGCTACAAAAAAGAAAAAGAGTAACTGACAAGCTACGGTGGAGGTGTCAGGGTAGTTAACTGTGACAAAATATACTGAAGGGCTTGTGGGAAAGAGCCCCTCGCCTGCTTTGTAAGATACTCTGTGGTGTGAAGAACGAGAGAATGAACATGAGAGCAAGTGAGTGCATGTGTTTAAAGAATTCTGCGAGAGAGTTAAAAATACGGTATGTTACATTGTGTAAAGGAAAAAGACTGTGCACTTTTCCCATATACAGTGTTATAATTTAGTCAATTTTTCGTTACAATTTACATTGTTCTTGTTTACTTATCGTCTATTTTACTGTCATACTATTTATCAACCCAGAGGACCAGTGCAATGCATTATTGGATGCAGTTTTATCTGCATATGTTTATGATTGTCCAAATTAATTACTTGGAATTTATGAGTACTCTAGTTGGCTAAACGTATGCAGTTACTCAATGGAATGGCCTAAGATTGCTTGAGTACAATTATAAGCAGTTAAAATATGCAGCTTTTAGCTACATTTCATGAGCTTTCAAATGGGAAGATTTACTTAAGTGTAATGTGAAATTACTGCCATTTGCTGGCTGCTAATGTGCTGTGAAACTAGAGAGGTAATCCATGGAATGCAGTGTGTAAAAAAACTGCACTTACCTACTTCTTCTGTGCACATCATTTAATGAAGACAAGTGACTTTGGAGTATATCAGCACATTTGATATCCCTGTAAACACTCCAACCTTTATACAATATATATGATGACATCATGGAGCACTTTTTTTCCTTTCTTTTGTGTGAAGGTCTTGTCTTGGCAAGCTTTCACTCCCGGTTGATACTGAAAGTGTTGTTTGCATAATTTGCCAGAGTTGCGTTCAGGAATTCAACTTTGTTTGCTTTGCAAGCATGCTGAGAGTATTTTGATAATCCATTTACTTCGTGCAATGCAGTCCTGTGGCATTGGCATGCACCACCACACCCCTTCTGGCATCCTGGCTCCACCTCTGCGCCCTTCTTCCTTCCACAGACCAAATCTGTGGTGACCCCATCCATCTTTGTCAACAGTCATTTATTTTTCTTTATTTCTTGTTAAACGTTATTTTCCTCTGCCAAAGACTTTTTTAAAGGGAAAGTGTAGATACTGAATAGTCTTACCAAGCTCCGTGGAGTGACGGGGCCATAAAAAAACGGTTGATGTACCCACATGTTTGAACAAGGTTGCAGAGATGTGACTTTTACCCGATAGATGCAATAGTTCAGTGTACTGCAAGTAGAACCAGTCTAGCAGGTGATGTGAAGCTACTGTGACCATCCTGCAAAGGGCCAGCACCCTTGCGGAAGTATTAAATGTTGTGTCCATTGCGTGTATAGACTTAGAAGTGGTTAAAGGTGCTGTTCAGAGCAAACATGCTGTAAATAGTACACTTGTGTATTTTAACTGAATGCCAACTGCCTGCCTCCCAGTGCTGATCTGATCTTTTTTTGTTTGTCTTTTTATTGTTTCTAAAATACGAAATACCTGTCAGGCAGAACTCCATCACAATTCTAAATAATTCTGAGGCATTCCTCTGTATGCTGACATATAAATACATTTGGAATACTTTCTCCTTTGTGTTTAGAAGCACTCAGACAAAAAAAACAACAACAAAAAAAGAACAACAATGCATCAAATAAAACTTAGAAACTCTTGATGAACTAACTCTGCTTCCTGCCTCTTGCTTCTTGCTCTCATTTCTGTTCTGTTTTTGAGTGAAACATTCTCCCAACATGACCTTTTATAGACAAAAGTGTGTGTGCTTTCTAAGTTAAATCCTTCATGCTATTTAGAAATATAGTTGAAAATATTCACAGATGTTGGGACAATGTTTTTTTTAATGCATTTTGGTTTGGTCCGACTTTTGGTGGCTGACAAACTTTTCACGGTGAATAGAATTGGAATTTTTAGTCTGTGAAAGTGTACACATGGGCTCCGCCTGACTGACGGTCCACTTCAGCTTCCATCCTGCAGCAGCGACAGAATGACCTGAATATAAGATTCAATGTTTGGCGCGTACAACAAGGATTCTAATCCCTTAACTTAAAATCGTGTGCAAGAAATGTCTCACTTTTAAGTGGAACCAAAGGTAACCAACATATGTCCACATGAGGAGGTAATCACTGTCTGACATATCATTGCTTCTGTTACCACAGGGGTTGCAACGGGCAGCAGGACAGTTAAACTCAAGGATAGAGTGAGTCTTAGCTCTTGTCTGACTCTGGGACTCTTCCTGTGTTGGTGTTTGGGTGTTATCATTCAGGCCTCTTTGTCTGCTGCTCTTTTTGTTGAACTTTCGTTTTGGGGAAATACTTCAAGGCAAAGAAGATATGAAAAAATATCCTTTTCTCTTACAGACATACAGTTAAAGATTAAACAAGTCTCTAAAATATTTACCAACAGTGTAATTTTTTTATTGAAACTTTTTTCTAGTTTCACACTGATGACAAAGGCCTGATGATCAGTTCTACTCCCTTTACAAATCCCAGCTTGAAATCTGGGAGCTTAACTTTTCTTTTTTTATATGGGAGATATCTGTCCACTCAGAAACGATTACCAGATTTCAGACACTGTTAGGTCAACATACACACCACACACCGACAAATGTCCTATATCACTGATGTGCGTTCACAGTGAAGCATTGCAGCTCCGGAAAAGTTACATCTTTTACCAGGGGTCCGTTAAAATCAAACAAGAGTCCTGGCTTTGACTTCAATTGCCACAAGGGAAGACAAGGAAAAAACACACATGATTCCTCTTCAAGACCTCAACATGAACTCATAATTCCAGATACAGTGGGGCAAAAAAGTATTTAGTCAGCCACCAATTGTGCAAGTTCTCCCACTTAAAAAGATGACAGATGCCTGTCATTTTCACCATAAGTAAACCTCAACTATGAGAGACAAAATGAGGAGAAAAAATCCAGAAGATCATATTGTCTGATTTTTTAAGAATTTATTTGCAAATTATGGTGGAAAACAAGTATTTGGTCAAAAACAAAAGTCCATATCAATACTTTGTTATATACCCTTTTTTGGCAATGACAGAGGTCAAACGTTTTCTATAAGTCTTCACCAGGTTCTCACACACAGTTGCTGGTATTTTGGCCCATTCCTCCATGCAGATCTCTTCTAGAGCAGTGATGTTTTGGGGCTGTCGTTGGGCAACACAGACTTTCAACTCCCTCCAAACATTTCCTATGGGGTTTAGATCTGGAGACTGGCTAGGCCACTCCAGGACCTTGAAATGCTTTTTACGAAGCCACTCCTTTGTTGCCTGGGCAGTGTGTTTGGGATCATTGTCATGCTGAAAGACCCAGCCACGTTTCATCTTCAGTGCCCTTGCTGATGGAAGGAGGTTTTCACTCAAAATATCACGATACATGGCCCCATTCATTCTCTCCTTCACACGGATCAATCGTCCTGGTCCCTTTGCAGAAAAACATCCCCAAAGCATGACGTTTCCACCCCCATGCTTCACAGTAGGTATGGTGTTCTTTGGATGCAACTCCGCATTCTTCTTCCTCCAAACACGACGAGTTGCGTTTTTACCAAAAAGTTCTACTTTGGTTTCATCTGACCATAGGACATTCTCCCAATCCTCCTCTGGATCATCCAAATGTTCTCTAGCAAACTTCAGACGGGCCTGGAGATGGACTGGTTTAAGCAGGGGGACATGTCTGGCACTGCAGGATTTGAGTCCCTGTCGGCGTAGTGTGTTACTGATGGTAGGCTTTGTTACCTTGGTCCCAGCTCTCAGCAGGTCATTCACTAGGTCCCCCCGTGTGGTTCTGGGATTCTTGCTCACCGTTCTTGTGATCATTTTGACCCCACGGGGTGAGATCTTGCGTGGAGCCCCAGATCGAGGGAGATTATTAGTGGTCTTGTAGGTCTGCCATTTTCTAATAATTGCTCCCACTGTTGATTTCTTCACACCTAACTGCTTACTGATTAGAGATTCAGTCTTCCCAGCCCGTTGCAGGTCTACAACTTTGTTTCTGGTGTCCTTCGACAGCTCTTTGGTCTTGGCCATAGTGGAGTTTGGAGTGTGACTGTTTAAGGTTGTGGACAGGTGTTTTTTATACTCTTTATACGAGTTAAAATAGGTGCCATTAATACAGGTAACGCGTGGAGGACAGAGGAGCCTCTTAAAGAAGAAGTTACAGGTCTGTGAGAGCCAGACATCTTGCTTGTTTGTAGGTGACCAAATACTTATTTTCCACCATAATTTGCAAATAAATTCTTAAAAAATCAGACAATATGATCTTCTGGATTTTTTCTCCTCATTTTGTCTCTCATAGTTGAGGTTTACTTATGGTGAAAATGACAGGCATCTGTCATCTTTTTAAGTGGGAGAACTTGCACAATTGGTGGCTGACTAAATACTTTTTTGCCCCACTGTAACTGCTTAGGACTATGAATGAGGGAAACTACCCACTGAGGACATTTGGATATCTCACAGGCATTTGCTTTATGGGACCCCGTTCCTCCTAATTGTGAGCAAATCTTACTCTTAACTGATTGAGATCATGTAGCATTCTCACCTCTACTTTCCTGCTTTTCCCTCCTTTATGACAAACTTACTATTGGCTCTTTTTTTTATAAAGAGCTGAAAGGGCAAACCATGGTAAATTTCACTTCCGTACTGGGCTATATTTTGTGGACTTTTCCCCTCTTTTAATACATTTTATCAGCTTTTTCTTTGTGAATATTGGAAGGAAGGTCTCTGGGCTTGTGTCCTTTAAAATAAGTATACTCATGTCAAGAATGCTCGGCAAAAAAAAAAAGGTCAGTCTAAATGGTGCCTTTTCAGAGGACAAACTCTAATTTTAATATTCCCGTTACAGGTGACGTCTCCTGTGCTGGTGTCTTTCGCAAATTTTCTATCCTCGCATCTTTACAGCCCGAGAAGTTGAGGAGAAGAAGCATTCAGTTCAGCCGTTGTAAGGAACCTTCATGACCCCATGTCTGTGCCCATTCTCTGAATAAAATAAGCAAGACAAACAACTGATGCAAATAGTCAAAATGAATGAGTTAATAACAATAACTAAAAAATCAAAATCAATAAATTGACATTTATGTGACCTGTTCTTTTTAAAAGCTATTGTCATGTTCTGGAACTTACATTTGCCTCAGGCCTGTGTAGCTACACTTAATTTTGAAATGTCCGAGACCAAAAACAAAACAAACAACCTATAACGACTGCATTTATGCTCAAAGGTAAGCTACAGAGAACATTATGCAAACGTGTCTTTATCTTTCTCTCTGTGATGAGTAAATAATAAAAACAAGTTAGAGATCAATGTAGTGTATATCTTATGTAATGCCATTTTTATCTGTGTATTCTAGTTTATACCACATATTTCTATTTTAAGCATTCTAAACTTTACATTGCATTTAGTAAAATAATATAAATGTAAATAAACGCCTTACATAAAGGGCCTCATGATTGTTGTTTTTTTGGGGGGTTACCGTGCATTATTTGAACACTAAAACAGCAACAAGAACGTTTCCAAGAACCTGCGGATTGCACAGGTAGATCTCTCGGTGTGGTGGGGGGGGGGCACGGTCGTTATCCTCGCAAGATCCACAGGGGACTGGAATTAGTCAGCCGTGAATTACGACGACACACAATTTACAAATGTAAATCTGGTAATTGATAGTCTAAACGACTACTCTAACTGTAATGGTATGTTTTTCATATTACGGTTCTGCTTGAGAGTCTCCATAAGACATTACATGACGTCTAAACCAGGGACAGTAACGTACTCCCAAAGTTAACTACAGACGAAGAAGAAAACCGGAAGTGTAACTGTTCCTCCAGTTGGCCATAGCTATAGCTACGTTGCTGTCATCGTATTTTTGGTTGGAGGTTTGTCAACATAAACTACAACCTTATTTCGTGTCTGACAACGAACATACAGTTTTTACTGGGGTCTCCGAAGAGGTACGTCTATATTATACGTTTAATGTTAGAAAGTGGTAAACATGTGAGGTTAGCTTTCGTTTGTATCCTAGCTGTTCCTGGTAGCTGATGCTAAAGCTAGGGAGCGAAGCACAGTTAGCTATGGCCTGCATTAGTAGTTAGCTAACAGCATTGATACATAGCAGTTTGCCGGCAGCACCGTCTAGCATTAGCCGTATTGCCCTGTTTAGGAAGGCTGTATTAGCGAACTGTAAAAAATGTGATTAAAAAAGTCGTCACTCATCAGTGATATCACCGTGCAGATTAAAAATAGTCTGAAATTAGTGTGAAAAGTTCGTGATTGAGTAACCTTTCGATCTCGAGCTGGCTAACGTATCGATTTTTCCAGAAAGCCACATATTTAACGTTAGCCTAGCTTGCCAAATAGCGGATTAGCCTGAGCTAAATAAGTTGTGTTAAGTACCCTCCTGTGCAGAAGGAAGTGATATTGACTAGTCCGCGTGTTTTTCGTGACATGTCAGCTGTCACTTGACAATTGTCAATACATTGAGATGCCCTTCCCTCATTAGAATTTCTAGGTACTTCACAGGAATAGACAGTGGAAAAGGCATTTACAGCCAAGGTATTTCAGTTATTTACCATGTCGGAACGTACAGTCTTAGATACTACGGAATGACTAACTAACTCAAAGCACAATGCACCATCCGTGTAATTAATAGTACACAGAAAGAAATAATACATGAGGAAATGCTAAATGCCTGCCAATAAGATAAAATGTCCGGTTACCAAGTTAAAGTTCCATTTGGGACCTGTGATGTGATCTGGATAAATAGGGTTAACATTGAGCCTTGCTAGCTTCACTGTTTAATACTGATGCAAATAAAACAGAAAGAAACAGAGTGCTTATATTATACGGAGTAATACTGGGGGTATTCTATTTTAGCCAGTTTCGAGTTGTGAACATTATTGGCTTTTATTAAGCATTTCAGTTATAGTTTACAGAATCAATATTTGGTAAATAAACGCAACTGTTTGTTTTATATTGAGGCCTTTATAAATCTGCTTTCAAAATTGACTGCATGAACACAGAGAACAATAAATACACACACGTGTTTGCTAAAATGTATATATGTAAACACATATATGCATATTTATAAATGTGAATTTACATATCTAGCATGTCCTTTTACTTTCAGATGAACAACACCGGGAATAAGAGAGCTCCAACTACAGCCACTCAGCGACTTAAGCAGGATTATCTCAGGATAAAGAAAGACCCGGTGCCTTATATCTGCGCTGAGCCTCTCCCCTCCAACATCCTAGAATGGTGAGATCTCCATCCTCATAGGTCATACAGCCTAAATGCATCTCTAAGCGATTGGGGTTTGATTTGGTGCAAAGGTATGAGAGGGAAAAGATAGGTTAACACAAAAGGTTTTTCTAATATGTAAATGAATTGGAAATAAAATGCTAAATACACCAAAATAACAGAAAAATCTGGTAAAGGTTATTCATTAGGAGGGCCACTGCCAGCGGCAGGCCCCCCTATTACTATCCAAAATACTTATTCCGTCACTTTTTGTAGTTCTCCCGTTTCAGTGCATTTTCGTTCCTCATCGCTTGGCCCCACGAGGTCCAAGAGACCTCGTTCGAACATTGAACACGTCACGAAAGATGGTCCTCCGCCATATCAGAGCCACGAGGCCAGATGTCGCACCGTTTGCCCGCAATCGCTGTTGACGTCTAGTGAAAATCACAAAATCCGACATTCTGCCCCTCGTTCTAGCTGCGCTCGTTAAAGTTTCTGAGAACCCTGTGGGGACATTCAGCAAAAAAAGTCAAACTCCGGCCTCTCGCGACCAAACCATGGGGCTGAGCGGAGCCAAAACGGCCTCAAAACTTAGCCGTGGGCATCCTCTTTCCGGCAATCGGAGCCCAGAGTTCAGACTTTCCCGACCCTCTCCAATAGGATTCGAAGGGAAGAAAAGATACAATTTTTTAGAATGTGCAGAAACGGCCCTTATTTTGAAATTGCCATAAAAAACTAACCAGTGGGAGCAACCGAAAATAAAATATACTGGCTGAGCCCTGCTGAATTAGCTAGCTCTTATAGTTTTGGAACAGTGGGCACGAGTTCGGGGTCAACTTTGGATGAAAAGTGTCTGACTGTCGGTTAGATGAGTGTCAGAGAGCTGTGGCCTAATGACTGACAGCTCTTAGGCCAGACTGCTGTTGCTATGGAGATGAGCTTTGGAGCTGAGTCAAAGCAGTGGAGCTTCCAATGGAGGTGATTACTTGGCGCCTAGTTATCAGCAAATGAACCCATTAATCTTTGGTAATTACACACGAGGCACGTGCACGGGCACCGTTCCCGTAATACGGAGCGTTTCTGGGCTGGGTCATGCCATGGTACACGACTCCAAAATGCCTTGTGCAATTTAAAACATCTTTTTTTTCTGATGGACCCTGGTGTCCCTCTATCCGAAGCACACAACATGGCCAGGTTTGGAGGAATATATTCCAAACAAGCCATTGTTCAATCTCAAACGTCTTTATATTCCCAGCTCAGCTGCTGTCTTCCCCTTTCTAAAATAAACAAGATCAGCTGCGTCGACCCAGCCATGTCATACCTCGTTGCGTAGGTCTTTTTCTCAGCTTTCAGCCAATGTGACCCCCTTCCTTGTCAGCGGGCCCCAGAGCTCAGCCAGGCCCCTCCAGCTCTGTATTTCTCCATCAGGCCCTCTCATAGGCACAAGCCCCGTTATAAAGAGCCCAAATATTCAGTGTCCAACCCTTCCGGGCCCCTTTTGAGGGCCCCAGGAGGCCAGCCCCGGGTTCCTGGACCGGGCAGTAGATGGCCCCCCCTTAAAATTTTTGGAGAAATTTTCTAGTTGACAGTTGTTTTTCTCTCCAACAGGCACTATGTCGTAAGAGGTCCTGAGAAAACTCCATATGAAGGTAAAGACCTGTTTACATGTCCCAAATAAACTTTAAACAAGTCAAAATGTACTTACTAAAGTTGACTCATATTTCCAGGCAGAGCTTTGTGGCATTTGTTTGAAAGATTTTGATTTGATTTGTTTTCCTAGGAGGATATTATCATGGAAAACTTATATTTCCCCGAGAGTTTCCTTTTAAACCACCCAGTATCTATATGATAACACCAAATGGGAGATTCAAGTGCAACACGAGGTAAGGAAAAGAGCTCGATTTTTACATCTAAGTAGAAGTCAGACTGAATTATTAACTTGACATCTTTTGAAGATCTGTTGTGTAAGTGATTCTGTTTGTCCACAGGTTGTGTTTATCCATCACAGACTTCCATCCCGACACATGGAACCCTGCGTGGTCTGTCTCCACTATCCTGACAGGTTTGCTTAGCTTCATGGTGGAAAAAGGACCAACCCTTGGAAGCATAGAGACCTCAGACTACACAGTAAGTTAAAAGATAGAGAATGAGAAATAAAGCAACATAAAAAGCTTGGACATATAGTATGTGTATTTTTGTTTTGTTTTTTCAGAAAAGACAGCTCTCAGCCCAAAGTTTGGCTTTCAACCTTAAAGACAAAGTCTTCTGTGAGCTGTTTCCTGATGTAGTTGATGTAAGTATGAGGCTGTGGCTGACTTTTTCTTTTTACTTGGTATTAGTAAGATAACATAGCACATTCTCTGAGCCTCTGGTCTAATATTCTCCCATGTCCGTCGGTAGGAGATTAAGCAGAAGCAGAAGGTCCAAGAGGAGCTAAGCGCCCGCACTCAGCCTCTGCCCTTACCTGACGTGGTTCCTGACGGCGACCCTCAGCAAGTTCACTACGGCCTCCCTGCCCTCAATGGTGGGGCAGCCCCAGTGGGGGGTGCAAACGCCGCCCCTGGCCTGCAGCAGGCCAACCGTAACCATGGACTCCTGGGTGGTGCTCTCGCCAACCTGTTTGTGATTGTAGGCTTTGCAGCATTTGCCTACACAGTCAAGTACGTCCTGAGGAGCATAGCTCAGGAGTGAGAGCACAGCTCTCCTCCTCTCAGCCGAGCCACCTGATGGACTCCCATCCTAACAAACACATTTTGTGGGGGAGAGATGGTCAGCCCTGAGTCCAACCCCTCCGCTACCACCACAAGCACCACTACCACCAAGGACTTTGGAAGACAGAGCCTCCAAGCCCACCCACCCAGGAAAGACTGCAAGCAGGAGGTTGAGAGGTGGATGTGAGGCAGAGTATGGCCGGGGCATCGGAGGTGTTCATTAAACCTGCTCTGATTCACCTTGTATGTCAGTGGTTTTTCCCTGTCCTGGGAAGAAACTTGGCTCATGGGTTGCGAAATGGTGTAGGTGTATTCCTGATAGCTAATGATGTCACTCAAGGATGTTTTTTTCTTTTTCTTTCCACATACCAGGCTTCTTTGAATCCTATACAACACAAACCATCATGTCAGGGTTAGACAGGGTGAGACATAAAGAACCCCTGTGTGCTGAAATGCTGCTTCAATCAGACAATGATGTTTAAAGTTTCATTGTGGCCCAAGCTTTTTTTCCCCCCCTACCTGTTGCCCTGTAGCTAAGCCCATGCATATTTGGGGCTTTGTTACTTGGCACAGAGCAGATGTTCCTGCCTTATATAATCCTGTGCATATCCCGTACTAGTCATGGCGTGGTGCCAGCACTGTCATTTCAAAATGCTTCTGAAGATTCTTGCCAGAGGGTTAGTTACATAAAAGAAAGTTCTTTATTAATGACATGATTTTAGAGGAACTGCAGTTCAGCATAAACCAATCCTCAAACAGTTAATTTGCACAAGCACTGTGGAAAAAGTGTTTCCTCATTCTCGAGATTTTCTGCGGAACATTATTTAATGATTCCTTATAAGTGAATTTCCATCACCGGAACTGAATGAAGTGCATTTAATATTCAAAAGTAAATGGATAAATCTGAGGTTTTCTTTTTGTCTCCCCTCTTTTTTTTTCTTGTTTTCGTGTCGGGCAAGTGGGCAGAATCGAGTGATAAAGCTGATGGCATTTCAAGCTTCCCTCAGCAGTTTGTAAAACGTTGCCGTTGCCCTGCTCACTGACTGTCAGACCAAGATTTTTTAATTTTTTATTTAATTCTTTTTTTTTAAAGCTGGTGAACAGTGAAGGATCAAAGAAGTAGTGGAAACCTGATCATCAGGCTCCTTCCTAAGAAAAATCCTTGGAAAACCTTACACAGAATCACAAGTATGTCGACAAATCACGATCGCATGGAAATGTAGCAGAAAGCAGCCTGTGTACATGTCTGCACTCGCCTCCCACACACGCATCTCCTGATTTCCTCCTACTAATTGTTGTTTTGCAGTCAGTTGATGTATGACAGCAGACCAAGTTGATGCAAATATATTCTTCTGAATTAAAGAGCTTGTTGACATCTTCATGTGTTTTACGTATGGATATAAATCAGAGAAGCATCTAAGTCTACTAGGCCTTTGATAAACTCTCAGATATATGCTGCCGTCAACTCATGAGCCAAGTGGTGTCTGAACAGTGGAAAACAGACCAGAAAGCGTTCGTTTTGGCTTACCTGACCAGTATAGCACCAGTCTATTTAGGTCCAAAAAATGAGACGCGTGACGAGAACCAACCTTTTTCCTTTCTGTTTATTTTCTTTTTGATATGTAAGTTTTTTTTTTCTTCCTTTATGTTGTCTTTATTTATAGAAAAACAGCCGGCCTGTGGAGTGTTAGCGAAGCAGGGCAGTACTGTCGGAAACGGGCCTCAGCTCACATAACTGCTGTTCCTTTACTCTTGTACATTGCATTTAGTAAAGATGGTTCTACAGCGTGTTTAATGTTTCAGCAGACAAACGATCTGAAAGCAGAAGATTCTCCTGTCTATTGCTCTTCTTTTCTTGGTACCAACTCAAAAAAGACAAAAAAACTGATAATGGGAGTGCATTTGTGTAGTAATACAGCAAATGCTGAATATTCCACGCTTCAGTTAATCTTGTGTGACATTGTAAGTTTTCATAGTAAATGCAAATAAATTCCCCTGCTTGCCAGGGCATTTAATAAATCCTCCTGGAATCTGCTTTTCTGTGAGAGATATGGTCTGTTGTTGCTGGAGAAGGGTGAACCAACCCTCTTTATAGATAAAATAAAACAATAAGTTAGATACAGGTGGGCTGATTACAAGCCTGTGAAGTGTCAAGTACAACTGGTTGGGGAACTCGTTTGCATGTGTTCACGAGGATTTTTTTTAAAAGGTTGTTTACCCCGGGGCAGCTCTTCCTTGGAAAAGCAGCACACGTCATAAAGGAGTGCTATAAAGGTAAGCCGGCTGGGAGGAAGCCTCATTGCCTCTGAAGACAACCTTGTGCGAGCACCACAGCAGCTTCAACGCTGAAAAGTGAGTATTTCAATGACTCTTTCATTCTCAGGTTTAAAATGATTATGTGTGTTGGGATGAGTTTTTTTTTTGCTGAAAATGGAATGGTGGCACAGTGCCATCTTTATGTCCTCTTATTAATGTTCATCTGAGGATTTTTTGGTCCTAAATGTCTTGTCCTTTGTATTTTTCGCAGGACACTTTCCTGGTCAAGAAGCCCCGTGCTCTGTAACCTCTGACCGCACCATGCCCTTAAGAGAAGACCTCCGGTGTGTTGTGTGCTGTGAGGAGTACTCGTGCGTTGTGCGGGTGCCGCGGGTTCTCCACTGCAAGCACACTTTTTGCGCCCAGTGCCTGCAGCGGATGACCATTCCTGAGGGCAGCATCAACACCGTCACCTGCCCTCTGTGCCGCTGGATCACCTGCACCGAGGCCACCCTGACCGTGCCCAGCGCCCTGTGGGTCAACACCGAGATATGGGACCAGATTGCAGTCAACCGGAAGCAGAGGAAGGACGATTCGGTGGGAGATTCGAAGGACAAAAACAAACAGCTTGGATCAAATCTGTAAGTATTCATTTGAAATCTTTCTTTATTGATCTCTTTTTGCTGCATTGCTTTTATCTAAAAAAAAAAACCCCTCTTTCTCTTTCTTAGTAGCCCGACTTCCATGAAGTCTAGTGTCCAGTCTGCCGTCCGGTCTGTGTTCAGCCGCATTCGGCTGCATAAGCGGCACACGTCCAGCGACTGACAGCAGAGCCACGGCCGGCTGCTCTCACCTTTCTCGTCACGCTGCAAGAGATGGTTGTATAAAAGACTTTCTAACGCTCAACTACATGAGGGGCATCATCATCAGTTCAGTGGAAACGCTGAAAGCACCAATTTCACACAGCAGCTGCCCGGACGGCTCTGTGTGAAGTTCCCTGTATTGCAAAGTAGTTGGAAATGAAGAAAATGTTTGTTTTTTAACTTACAAACTTTACTGTGAACTGAAAGATGTTTATGTATATATATATATATATCTATTATAAATGTTTTGTTGTTTTTACTCTATGAATATTAGATGTAAATGATCCAGGTATCCTGACATCATCCATGAAGACTTTAAAGACACAGACTGTTCTTTTGTTTGTGTTTTTTCTATGTGAATTCCACTTTAACATCTATGTACTGACTGTTTGGGACATGGGGGGTTATGGAAGGATCCAAATCTTCAAGTGTTTGCAATATTCTAAAACGCTGTTAAAAAGTTTCTTTTGAAAACAATAAAAAAATTTAATAAATCCTCTTGTCATTCCCACATTTTTTCATATAAAAGAGTTTACATTTCCTCATCACGTTTAAGATGGTTATTGTGGGAGGGATCGCTGAAGGAAAAGCAGCCGGTGTGTGGACCTGTGCTTGTGAGGAGGCGCGAGAGCTTTGTAAAATGTTCTTTGCTTGATATGGAGACCCGTTTGATAAGCAGTTTTTTAAATTCAGCATTAACAATTGATGAAATCAAATACATATACTTTTGTTTTTTGTACCAGCGTAGGACAATACCAAAGTGGACATGATTAGTCCTAATATGACTGATGATATAACAGCAGAATGTAAGGAGAAAAGTAAAAAACAGCGTGTTGTCACTACTAATCCGTACCAACGATCATCAGTGCAGGGATTCCTCTGTTTCAGCTGTTAAATATTGACAAAATGTGACTTGATTTTTATTGATTTTTTATCAGAGGTTGTATTTACCTAATGTTGGGCCCTGCTAAGACCCAGATTACTTGTATTACTTTAATTCTTTTATTCTTTCACCACATATCCCAATGCACGTAAGACAATAGAATTTATTTTTTTATCTGACTGCAACTTTTTTTTATTTTTAAAAAGGAGATATGTAGCACCGTCTTATAGAAAAAGATTTATTTATTAACTCTTGCTCCGATTTAGTTAAATCATATCTTTACAGCGTGTGATGAGCCACAGCTGAAATGAATCCATTAAAAGACAAGCCCCTGCTTTCTGTTTGCCTAAGTGGAACAAAAGAATTCTTGTCATGCTCAGTCTTTAACTGGAAACCACTTAATCGATGCTTATGTAGCAAATAAGATTTTTTCCAGTTGATAACGTGTTGAGTCACAGTCTGAAAACATTTGTATGAAAATACAAAAAAGCACGAGATTTGAAATGATCATATCACAATGACCACAGTAAGAAAAAAAAAACAAACCTTTGACCCATGTCATAAAAATACGTCTGTGGTTCTCTGGAAATGTTTGTTTTAAACAGGACATGATACACTCCTATAAAAGAGAAAACAATCTCTTATCCTGTTCTGGCTTTGTGTGACCTGCTCTACAGTTAATAGAAACTGGATATCATCTACAATTCCTGTCAGCAGTTGCACGCCAAATCTGTGATGAACTAAGAACAGGTGACACCGGTCATAGATGACTTACAGGTGGTGGTGGTGGTTGTTGGGGGGGGTTCTGCCTGGAAAGATTGGTCCAATTTTGTTCCATCTGTGTTTATTGTCGTAAGGTCCCTGTGTAGAAGCACTCATCTCCATTAGGATATTTAATTAAAAGCACTAGATTAGCTAACTGATAAGCTAAATAAAAACATGCAAAGAGAACAAAATGAGGACCAAACAAAGCACTGTGAGATTGTGGTTACTTTATTGGAAACAGTGGACTATTTGAGCCGAGACCTTTTTCCCTGAATTAAATTCTACCAAAACGGCTTTTTAGCTATACTATGTTAAAGTGAAAGTTAAAAATTGTGACATTACAACACAAATCTGAGGAAGAAAAAAAAAAGAAACAGGTTAAGGAAAGACTTTCAGAGACCATTCGGAGTCCTCCCCTTTCAAATCAAATCAGAAGTGGTGGCAGGAGAAGCTGAAAGTCCGTTTTCAACACAGCAGGACTCTGCAGGTTACAAAACAACAACATACACTAGATGAAGAACCAAACAAAAACAAAGCTTTTGGCAGGAAAGATTAATTATTTGGATAAGGGACAATAAAATGGGGTGAAACACAGGATGGGAGACTTCTCAGACACTGAAGTGTTTCTAACAGTCTGCACACTGGGATTAGTCCCTGTGCAGCGTGGCGTTTTGTTTGGTGCCACCCATTAACAAGCATTTATCGAGTGTCAAAAACACTGGCCATAAATCAGCTTGAGTAATAGCAGGTCCTACATTTTCAGGCTTCACACACATTTATTTACAAATAAAGAATATTTTTTATAATACCTGAACAGGGTTTTTTTTTTTGTTAAAAGGAGAAACAGAAGGGATTTTTTTTCTTAAAAAAAAAAAAATTAAAGGGTTTTCACATCATTCCTCAAAAAGGCGATCACACTGGACTTCATAAATACATTCAGAACGCGGGTATGTAGTTTCAATTCTATTGCATAAGGACATGATCAATCCTGCCTAAACACAGTCACTACATAAAACAAACTACCACAATGTGTACTTAAATTAACATATCCATCACAGTTTTTCCACAACTCTTCATGGGCCTTTCTCTTCCTACTTCACACCGATAAAACATAATTTAAATAGAGTAAAAAGACATGAGTATACAGACGAGGGTAACGTACAGTCAATATGCTCACTAAAAACACAGGGCTGCGGTGGATTAGTGTGGAAGGTTTCTTGAAAAACTAAGGACTGTGAGCTCAACTGGCCCTCTAAGTCTGGCATCTAAAAGCTCACCTAACTCTCAGGAGGATAATCTCTCTTCACACAAAACCTCAAGATAAACGGGTGTAATATACAGTTAACACGATTCTTTCTGAATAGGTGGGGGTTAAAATATGGGCCACAATGTTTTTAAGGGAAAATAAGAAGATGCGAAACAGCGCAGGGCATTTCAAAGACGATAAAAGAGTCCAAACGAACAGGTAAATGAGCTAGAAGTGAATAGGTGTCTTGTCATTAAAAGCAGCAAACACGTAAGTGACCAACAGGTTTTTTTCTACAGTTTCAAAAGTCCCTTTGTGGTGGATTGAGAGTGGAGACGCAGAAGCCTTTTCTTTGTGTGAGCTGTGTGGGACTCTGTGTAGGCACAGCAGCCCTACTATAAGTACGGGTACTGGGCGAGGCGCCTGGGGCTCAGCTGGTAGGCACTGTAAGCTTCAGCCCGGGGCGTCACGCTGACGTACGGAGGGCCGGCTGCAAACTGGTGCTGATAGGCAGCGGGCAGGCCGTGCAGCAGGCTGCTGACCGAATCCTTGCGGCTGCCCGAGTCCCTCCTGGAGGAGGAGGAGGTGTACGTGGCTGCATAGGCGGCGGGGGAGTGTCCGTGGGCGCCGTGGCCGCGGCCCAGCAGCTGCTCCATGGCCTGAGAGGCGGAGGACAGGGCTGTGGAGGCTGGGTAGGTGTACAGGCTGCCGGCGGACACTTCGGGGAAGCTGTAGTGAGAGGCAGAGACGGTGGGGGGGAACGTCTGCTGGCGACGCAGAGAAGAGTCACCGTGGGATGCCCCCAAGCGCTCCTGAGATGAAGAAACCACCGACTGGACCTAAAACGAAAGATTCATCGTCACATGTAAAGCAAACGCCCAGCAAAGGGACGGGAGGAAATACTTTAATGCCTGTTCCATTTCAGCAACATGATCGCAAACTTTCAGGAAGGGACTTTTGCTTTGCTTTCGATTTAAGTCTTACCATTGATCACACAATGCTTATAAACGTCAATAAAGCATGTAGTTTTTTTGTTTAACAACAGTTAATAGCGTTTTCAGCTTTATGGTCACATGTTTAGCACGAACAGGAGAGCCTTCATCTTCAAACAGCATTCTTTTCAAATTGGCTGAGCATCCAATTACGGAGCATTCATAAACCTGTTTTTCTACTCTGTCTCATTTGCAAAGTGTAAAATCTACTCTCTGACTGACATGGCAGTTTCAGTTTCCAGACAAGTACCGACCCAACATCCAACCTGAATAGGCAAATGAGCTATCAAAAATACCCACAGGCGGTGCTTGACATTATGAGTCAGGCATGTGAGTCCCATTGAGGAAAAACATTCTTTAAAGGTGACATAAACCATTGTATCTCATAAAACTTTACCTGGCTGAGGTTTAAGGGGTGAGACTGGCTTGGGACCAACCCGTGACGATCCAGGCCCTCCCCTGAGCTGCAGGGCTGTCTGTTGGATGATCTCTTAGGCTTCATGTAGTTCACTGCAAGTTGAGGAAAGGAAGTACGAATGACCCTTGCCCCCTTTTGCTCATAAAGACTAAAGCAAAAACAGCAGAACTCACCAGTCTCTACGCGGCCATGTGAGGCTGCCCCTTTCTCGGACGCTTGGGTTTTTACTGAGGGCACCACCACGGCCAGAGACCTGGCCGGCCGTGACAACACCGTGCCTGCTGTGTTCAGTGTGCGGGGGAGGGGAGTCAGGGGACTGGCTGTGGAAGAGTCTGAATCATGCACGGTGACACAGCTGATGACATTGGTGCGCTCAGTCCGGCTCAGCCCGACACTGTGAAGATGGGAACAAGTCATTTTCAGGACCCCTTAAGAAAACAGGACAACTGTCAAAACTTTCCGCCTCAGAACAAAAGCGTTGACAGCAGGGGATTCTTTTCTCACCTGGCAGGATGGAACTTGCGCTCGTCCTCAGTGTCAGTGTCACTGTGAATGGTGATGATGCTGACCGCTGGGCTGGGAGTATCAGAGATGATAATTGGCTGGGACAAAGCCAGTGTGGAGGTATGCGGGGTCACGCCGCTATTGCCGAGTAAGGATGCAGCAGATATACCCCTAAAAATGACAAACAAAAGACAGAGTGTTCCCCTATAACAGCAGGTGATAAAAAAAGCAGGATAAAATAAAAAAAGAAGTGGACTGTTCTAATGCAGTGGTCAGGAAAAAGGCTTAAGGTTCCTACAGACCTATTCCGGTTTTCCCCACGTCTGGCTTTCACTTTTTTCCTTTCTTGTTGTGTTCTGGTCTGATTTATGTTTCTGTTAAGGGTAAGAAAAAAAAAGAAGTTAGTACCTGACATTAGAAAAGGACCGGGTTTTTTAGTTAATCAGTGTTCATGTTAAAAACATGCAGTTTTAAACCAGCAGCATTAAAAGACTGGAGAGAAAACAGTCAAAGGTCTCAACTGCAGTGGTTGTGTGACCCACCGCCAGCTGTGGCCCTGCTGCACGCCAGCCCCCGCATGGACCCCTTCCAGGGGGGAATCCGTGACACTTGACTGGTGGGCAGAGCTGTGGATGGCCACACCTGGGACCTGCTGCCATGATGATGGTATGAGGATCTGCTGCGTACCAGTGGGCCACGCCTGCTGAGAAAAAACAACATACAGATGCGCCTTAGTACGTGCAATAAGAAAAGAAGCAGCCCAGCACAAATCAACAAAAGTTTTCTGGTATAGGTCAGACAAATTAAGCCATGCTGAGAAAACAAAATCCAAGACTGAATATATGGGCGCAAGCCAATGGCCAATATCCTCTACAGGGAAAAGCACATAGCTAGATAAGCGAGCAACCTTTTCCAAGCCATTCCTTTATCATAGCATTCCCCTCCAACAAGTCCACAAGATGGTTCCATGCAAAGCACAAACAATGAAGCACTGTAAACAAGATCGGATCTAAACACAAGTAAATAGAGAACCATGGTCCCTGTTAAAGGAGAAACACAGATTAGTTTAGTTCCCTGATGCCAAACAGTCAGCTGATAATGTCTTGGGAAAAGGCATGCCACACGTTCTGGGGCTGAAACAGAAGATGTGTGTCAGAGTCAGGCAGGCTGCCAGGGAGGGATTTTGTAGATTTTGTTGCTGCAGCCTCCTCTGCTGAAACCAAGGGAGGACAGGACAAGAGAAGCTGCAAGCAAAGCGCAGACCAACTCAGCAACACATGCGCTCCATGCCCTAAGCCCACCTAGGGGGGAAAAACTGGGGAATGAAAATGTATGAATGGTATGGTTTTGTTCTGAGTTGGGGAGGGATTGTCCTTTGGAGTGGGAGGACAATGCAAATTTAGTCAATCTTAACCATGTAGAAAAGTTGTATTTGAAGAAAACCAAAAGGACAAAGATGACTGAGTTCAGGACAGAAGATGGACTAATTCACCTAAAATGAAGGATTCTGATAACCATGACACGTTCACATGTGAAAATGTGGAACTGTGATGCAGAAAACAAAGACCAGCCCCATACAACGTGTGGCACGGAGGGAACGGGACACTTGCACATAAATGACAAGAGAAGGTAGAGCGGGGGAGTAGAGAAATGGCATTGTTAGTGGTAGAGGGAGTGAGCGTGTCTTTCTTCAGGGGATGTTATCGTTGCTTTACCAGCACTGTGGCTGTGTGCTCCAGGAGGGTGGGCCGACCCACCCCTGTGCCCAGCCCAAGGGGCAGAGAATACTGGGGGGCAATGCCTGCTGGGGGTGGGTGCAAGGTGGCCACCATCAGGGGTGTGCAGGAACCCTGGAGGAGGGAGGGAGGATAGGGAAGGCCAGTGTTAAGATATGCCTGACTGTAACACCCCTCATGGCTGATGACGATAAGGGGAGAGCACACATAACCACCGGCACTGGTCAGCTGAACACAGAATTTAGACATTTTTTCAGGAAGCACTAATCTTTATGCTTTTAGAGAGGGTACATCTGTTGTACTACACATCTGGCCTCCACCCCACATTGCTAGATGGAATTGAGAAGCCTGGCTCAGATGGTGACCCAATCAGCTCTGAAAGTAAAGTCAAGATAAAAGGATCTAATCAGAAATATTTAGAATGAATGGTACACACTACTTCCTTCGTTTTTATGTCAGCTAAAAACAGATATAAACGCATATAAAAGTCTCCCGGCCATTTAGGGTTGTCACCTTTTTTCAAAGAATTTTGTGGACAAAACGAAGGACATTTGAGGAAGCAGCAGAGCAGAGACACAGAGAGACAGGCACAGCAAAACATTCACTTTAAGGTTCTGAGAACTGGACTGGAACCAGAAGGACTTCTTCTGTGGCCTCTATGTACATCCCTATATCCAATGTGTTTTTCCAGTGGAGCGGGCTGCAGAGCATGAATGCATCAGATTGGAAGGGTTATTGAAACACAGGTGGGTCCAATCTGATGTGAATGCCAGAGGGATGGCATGGCCGCATGGAGCACTTCTTTCAATTGCAGGTAGCAAATGAAGTTCTGAGGTGCCAATCAGCTGAAACAGTGAGTGCATAAGACATTTGCATGCCTCAAGAGATGTTGCACCCAAGCCCCAGCAAAAGTAGCTGCCAGAATCCATCCACTGCGACCATGAGAGACGTTTTGGATGTGTTCAGCGTTTCCACCATTAAACAGAAGCTGGCAGCACTGCTATGAGTTAGATGCTTACAGAATAAGTACTAGATTTTTACTGACACAGTAGACAGAGGTAATAATGGAATATATGGACATGTGCACCGTATCAGGGAGAGCTACCTGAAACCATCATACTGAGTAAATAGAACACTTCAACCCAGCTAAAAACATTACACCAGGTTCTAACACTACAATCGCAGCATCTCCACTGTAAGAAACACAAACAATATGTCTACACGAGTAAATTCAAAAAAGAAAGAGAAAAAGCAAACAAATAATATCTTCTCCCACATGGAAACAGAAATTCATATCTTTGTGATACAATTACTCTTACCTGTGCAAGCATGCTTGGCTGGATCTGTAATGGCTGAGCAGACTGGTTCTGAGGTACCATGGGGACAGAGTTCTCCACCCTTACAGGGAAACTGGAACTTTTGCTAGATGACTGGAGCCCTGAAATGAATCCAAACAAATTAAACCCAAAGTCCACATAAACAGCATTTAAAAACCACCACAAAAAAGGTAATGTCTTTACAAATAAATGTCTTGACCCTGTTTTATAGCCATTGGACTACATGGGAATGAGATAAAAGCAATAAAGATCACAACTTTAGTCTTTACACAACTGTAATCGTTACCTTGAATAGTGGAGGGTGGACAGACAATGAGGGTCTGCTGGAAGGGCTCTGTCTGGCTACACAGCCCAGCAGCACGTGTTGGAATAGGGACGCTCTGTTGAGCCAACCCAGGAATGTTGATAGTTGCCTGCTGATAAAGAGCAGGCTGGTAGTTCAGCAGAGGCACAGCACCCCCTGCAGAGGGTACCTGTGTGAAAGAAGGAAGAGAACTCTTAAACTGCTCTGGAGCGGCCCAGAAGTTCTGTGAAAAAAATGATCTATTCAGATTGAATGACCACCACCTTCATGACACTAAAAACGGACTTTCAGCCCGATATAACTTGCTAAGCGCCTTTAGGATATAGCAGCTATTGGCTAGGTAATTCATAGTGCTTACCACAAAAAGCCCAAGTATTTCAAAACATTTCTTGAAGTGGAAAATGTTGTGTGCCACCATTCAGTGTACGTTAGCTCAGGTTTTCACACTCAACTTGTTCAGCTTTGTTTGTTATGGCAACAAACAGCACATAAGCCAAAAATGAGCCCTTGCATTCTGAGTGGGTTCTGCATTTGCGTGCAAAACCTCACAGCACAGACGCGGAGATAATACCTGGTTATGCTGGTTGAGCTGGCTACTGAAGGTAACCGTGAGGTTGCCTGATGCAGCGCTGGGAACTGCATTGGTGGAGTACAGGGATTTTCCACTGTCATAGGAGCACCTCCGTTTGCAAATCTCCATGTTCTGGAAGCACGACTTCACACTGAAGAAGATTAAATGAGAGTGTACCAAGAGTTTACATTACCATAAACACCTCCCAACACTGAACATTTCTACATTAACACACACTTACTGGGAGCTGTGTGGGTAATCCATTAGGTGGCTCATTGTGACAAAAGGGTGACCAAGAGTTTTTGTAGGGGTGATTCTTTTATCCGCATCCAGACGGAGCATTCGCTTTAAGAGGTCTATAAACTCTCGTCTGTCAGCTTTCTCTGCCAGCATGTCTGTCCCCTCCAAGTGAGAGGACAGGTTGACCTGTAGTATACAAAATAAGAAGAAATTAAACAAAAGGCACCTTTTTTTATTTAGCTTTCTATATTGTATTCAGACTAGCATACCTGCATCATGTCATCCAGACAGTTAAAGATGTACTTCCTGGCCTCCTTTGATTTGATGCCCATCTCCATCTCGTGCTCTGCTGGAGTCTGATTGAAAAACAAATAACAGGGCTTATATTCCATGACAAAACTTTTCTTATAGTTAAAAAAAGGACCATTCAAATTGCTTCAAGACCCTATTTCGTTGAACACTTTTGAACTATTTTCACATTAGGCATTAAGAATGACATATGAACCTTAAGCCTCCACAGAGGGTAGCTAGAGTCAGGGCCGCGGTTAAAGAAACGACTGGTCTTAGTGCCGGCGCTCAGGAGGTACTCTGCAGGAAGGCCTTGAGTCTGAGAAATGTAGCGGATCTAGACAAGGGAAAAAATGAAAAAATAATCAGAGGAATTATTTTTCAAAGCAGTTTGGATTTTTTTGGCATCCATTTCAAACTATGTCATAGGTTTGTCTTTCCCTTACATTTTTTATCAGCGGATAGAGAGCACTTGGGAATGATGACATAGGTACTGACCTGGTCGTACTCAGAGGCTCCTGGGTATAGAGGCCAACCCAGAAACAGCTCAGCAATCACACAGCCTAGAGACCACATGTCAATGGCTTCACAGAACGGCAGACCCAAAATAATCTCTGGAGCCCTAGATGGTACAGAAAACACCAAGAATAAACTACACATCCACAGTAACGCTATTTGATCCAACGGATAGCCACGTTCATTTCTTAACACCTACCTGTAGTACCGAGACTGTAGGTACGTTGAGCAAACTGCTTTGGACACGTGACTTGCCGAGCCAAAGTCAATAACCTTCACCCTGTAAGGCTGTCTAAGAGGGTCGACCAGCATGATATTTTCAGGTTTCAGGTCTGCATGAATCAATCCCAGGCTCTTCAGTTTCATCAAGGCTGTAGCCACCTAAGGACATAAAACCCCAAATATAAGCTGCACTGGCAGACCGAAGAATGAAAACAAGAAAGAGGGTATCAAAGCCAACCTGCTGCAGGATGGGTCTGATGTGCCGAAGGGGGAGCGGGCTGAACTTGCTGTGCTTGAGAAAGTCATAGAGATTCTGCTCTAGCATCTCAAACACCAAACAGGTATGGCCTTTGTGCTGGAAGCATTCATAGGAGCGCACAAAGTTATACTCATCAGCATTCTCAGCACTCAGTCGGTTCAAGATGCCCACCTTAAAACAAACGACAAAAAAACAAAACAATGAAACCCACAACGATATTTAAGTAATTCTAAAAGTATTTGATGAAAATGAAATAAAATAAATATGTGTCAATTCAATTAGGCAGAATTTATTTTAACATCCCTCTTGATTTATTTATGAAGACCAGTTTTTACAAATGATATGGTGTGAAACAAAAAGCTCAGCTCAGTGTTCCAATTAATTCAACTCTAATTTTGAACAAACTCACATTTTAAGTTTATAATCCTTGGCAAATAATTGAATCTTCTTTTTTTTTCTATATAACAAAACCTTTCAAAATCAAGACATAGGACAAGAGAAATTTTAATACCATGTCAAAAATGTCTGGTTACCTCAATTTGGCCCTGACGTGCATATGAAGGGTGGTTTTTGAGAATCTTTATGGCTACAATCTCATTGGTGCCCCTCTTCCAACACTTTGCCACTTGTCCAAACGTGCCCCTTCCCAGAAACTCCAGCACTTCATAGCTGCAGGACACGGAGCAGAGGATCTCGTGCTGCACAAGCTGATAATCCCCCTCACCATTTGAGCTGCTACTCTTGGTGGTTGGAGCCGAGTGAGGTATAGACTGGCCAGTGCCCCCTCCTCCACCACCCGTACGGTTGGAGTAAGTTGCGGCAGGGGCTGAGAGCTCCTCTAATATCTGGACACTGCCACATCCACTCCCACTGCCTTCACTGGCCTCTTCGATTTTTCTCTTCTGCCCGTGTCTGTGGGGCTTTGTCTCAGTGGATGTGTCATGATTGTAGGAGGATGTGGTGTGCTCAGCGACACGTCGACTGGACCCTCGAGGAAGACTACCTGTGCTATCAGCCGCACGCACCACCACTTGACCCCTTGAGCCGGAAGCTGCTGGAGGGAAGACAAGGGATGGTGCAAAGGGCGGCACAGCCACGGCTGGGGTAAATGCGTATGCGGACTGGCCTGCTATCGAGCTGTAAGCTTCAGTGGTGGACACGTCCCAGACATTGCTCTCCACCTTGAGTTTCTTAACACGGCAAAAGGCACTGGAGGAGATTGATGGGGGGGAGAAGACTTGTAGCTGCGAACTCATGGCTGTAACGACATTAAGAACAAATTAGCTCCACTGGAGCATGAAAAAATACCGTTTACCTAGAAAAACACAACAACTGTTTAGGTTTTACAATGCAATTATCTGTGGGACAAGCTTTAACGAAGACAATGTGGATGCCACTTTGACATGGACCGAGCACAGCCAACAACGGAGATCAAATAGGGTCATAAATAATTATGCGCATTAAGGCAAGGTCGTGTATTCTGCTCATACAGCGGCGAACGTTGAAATCGTACATGTTGATATCACTGTACCAGAGGTTCATGACAAATAAAATAATTCAGCAGCAATATTTTTCTTTTTTCATTTGTAGAAGTTTCGAGATATTGTCGGTCCTGCTTTTGGCAGGTCGCATGTCTTTATGATTCTTGTGCAAAATAAGGACGCTGACAAAATATTCGGTTATACTTCGGCAGGTCACGTTGTTGGCGATTAAAAAAACGTATAAAGCTGCAGAAAGATTAAGAATTTAGCATCAAATCACCAAAGCAAAATGATTGCTTAACAAGACAATGCTAATGTGCTAACGTAATAACTTTTCAAAAAGATGGCGTTAAAATATAGCCAAATTATCAGATATGTAGCCAAGAAACGAATATTTTTGCGTATCTCAGTTAGGGATAAATACATGTATTTCTATCTTACCGGATTTTACGTTGCAGCAGCTAAGAATCACAGCCTCGTCCAAGATTTAAATCCCACTGCGGAATGCTGGACCAGTTATCCGATTAGCCTCCACTAGCTAACATCTCATGCTAGCTAGGCCTGCATTGTTTCTTCACTCGATGGGGAGCTAGTCAGCATTACAGAGTCGAGATCCCGGTGAAAAAAACAGAAACCTGTCATTATACAATAAAGTCAAACCAACTCGTACTAAAATATTTACATTTGGTTATTAAAAGAGGATCACATCTCCTCTAAAATCGTCTTTTAAGGGAGGCAAAATCCACTTTTCTCCGGAAGAAACCACGTCCTTATATCAGCTGCGACTCTTACGTTATTTCCGGTTATTACCGTAACTACTAAAATTTGAGGCCTTCGACGGAGATAGATGCTTTTTTCTAAACAAATCAGACGAGTGATATGCATTTTGTTAATAAGAATATATTCATATAAGTATAGATTAATCAATCGAAAAAAAAATACACCAAAATTGCCCATGTCGTCGCGTTCTACATTAGGAAAGATGTTAAACAACTGTTTTACGGTAAAACGAAACTGCCTTGACGTAAATTCTGGTAATTTTCCAGATCACATTGGAAAGTTTTGTTTCCCAGTGTGAGTTATGCAATTATTCCAAATGTTTTATGTTTGCAGTGACTACATTGATAGTTTACTTTTCCATTTATTTCTATTTATTTTTGTTATGTTTCTTATAAATCAGACTGAATTTACCTGATAAAGGTTGCACTTCCAGAAAAAATCGTCCTATTTTTTTCTGGGAAAGTAAAAACAATTAGAGTATAATAAACAGTGTATTTAAGCTTGATATACAGTTTACGTTACTGGCAGTTTTTACATTTTTTTTTTACTGTAGTTTGATTCTTAAAAAAAACACTTTTTAAATTCTGCTCCATTTTTCTCTCCAGGTTCTCCGGCTTCCTCCCACCATCCAAAAACCTGGATGTTAGCTTGATTGGACATTCCAAATTGTCCTTGGGAGTGAGTGGGAGTATGCGTGGTTGTTTGTCCTTGTGTGTCTCTGTGTGGCCCTGCCATGGACTGGTGGACCGTCCAGGTTGTACTTTGCCTCTTGCTCATTGACCACTGGGATAGGTTCCATTCCCCCTGCAAATTTTCACAAACTTATTCGCTAAATTGCCTAAAACTACTTGGTCAATTGAAGTACATACAGCCCTAGAACATTGTGATTTAGAACCCACAAAGTCAAGACTATCAGGCAAGAAATAAGTTAAAGTGCAAATTTTCTTTTTATTCTGATTTCATTTTACAGCAGAAATTATGTAAAGCATTCAGAAGACATATTCCACATATAAGGGCAATATTCAAAACACTTTGCATGGCCTCAGCAACAAAATATTCTTTTAAAAACATCAACAAGTTAGTGATGCTTGTGCATGCATGTTTGTAAAACAAACAAAAAAGAATCAGAAACTAGGCTACAAAAAAAAGAGGGATGAGAGACTGAGATAGGCATGGAGAACACAACAGCAGGCAGGGTGGGAATACAGCAGGAGATGAGAGAGAAAAGGGAAGACGGGTTGAAAGAGGAGGAAGGCAAGGAGAGGTCTAGCCATAGATTATCTATAAGGGTCTACCATTGTAGCATGCAATGTCGTGTTTGGCCACGCCCTCTTTAAACAAGGCCCAAAAGGTTATACCATTCGTTTTTCGGTGGACTTTTGAGAACAAAGTCCATCCCTGTATATGTCTATCTGTCTACTAAGTCAACATTTGTTTATTTTTTTCTCTTTTGGTTGACCTTTTCTACACTACATACTCTACTTTTAACTGACACCATCCTCTCTGAAACATGAAAACACTGATGGATTTGTCTGCAGTATGCGGTAGAATTGGATGTGTTATTGTGGAATTCGGTGAGCGCAGGCATTTTGTTGGTGTGTGTGACTTTGTGTGCATCTACATGATATGTAAAGGAGCCCAAAGAACCTGTCTGTAGCTGTGCTGATGTTAGAGGAGGGGCAGTTTAAGAAGAGGCTTAAGTTGTGTTGTCTGAATGATACTGATAGCTTTGTCTCTAACATGGCTGTCTCTCAATTTGATGAATAGTCTAAAAACAAGTGGGACACGATGATCCAGTTGATCTCTTTGAATATTTCAAGCTTTTAAAGTGATAGAGGCCCATTCTCTATTTTTGAATTATTTAAAAATTGCCCATAGTAAGAATTTTTTTTATATATTCAAGAAAAGAGCAATTGTATAAATATATTTAGCTATCACTTACTTTGATTATTTTTTTTCCCAAGATGCTGTCTATAAAATAAGGTGTTTAAATTTGATCCTGTAGAAAACTGATCCAAGGTTGAAATACAAGACTGGATCAAACGTAAGATGACTGATGATTGGTACTGAATAATGAATAGTCAACTGGAGTGTCCCTAACTTTGTCCATATCCATATGTACATCTGAATGTACACTGTGACCCGCTGTAGTAAAGCTCCGTTCCAGCAGTCATTACACTCCACATATCATCTCCCTGTTGTTCAACCCTGAGTAAAATCTAAGGGAGAGCTTTCATTGTTCCCAAAGACTTAAGCACACGAGAGAACGAGTGTGGCCAATTTGTGTGCGTATGGGTGTAAGCCAGGATGTATTTTTTTGTGTTTTGGCCGTGTTTGGTACGTGGTTCTGTGATAATGGGAGAGACAGAAAAAGATAAAGATAGAGTTAAATGTTTGCGAAACCCGTTCAATCTGCCAAAAACTGCCCAGCTATTGTTTAATTTTACCATGTGATTTAACCAGAAATGGAATAATTGTAAAATAGCAGACAAAATTAGAGAGAGAGAAAAAAAACAACTCATGTCCTCCCAACTTGTTATAGTGCCTCTCACACACAAAAGCAGTAGCTGTTTCCTTAGTCTAATACTGCTAAAATATAGACAGAGGTGGAACATATAGTGACACCGTCCTCTTTACTTCCATGAAACAATACCTAGCATCAATCTGCCCATGAGTATCCATTCATTCCAGACACATAAGAATCAGATCAAGTTTCAACGCTTTCAAGTTAATTACTAACACGCAATTTGGGAAAATAAATGGGTACATGGGAACTTTTTGGAGGACCTAAAACAGATTTGTTCCTGATAATAGTTCTCTGTTGTTGAGCAGGCACTTTCTAAACAGAGTTTTCAAGAAGTTTAAGATACATGTTTTATAATTATGGCAGTCACAATCGGGAGAACATTTTCAAATCAAATAAAAAAAGTCAAATGAAATGTACAGCGTGGGTAAGAGACATTCTGATAGAACATGGGAACTGGAGGCCAGGCTGGATCCACTGTGGGTGTTGGATGGTTTTGAGAAAAGCTGGTATGGTGATGCAGCACAACTAGTAAAGATGTACTTCTTCCAGTTATCTTTTTTGGGTCATCAGTCATTGCATTCACATTTAAACATCTTTGTCATTGTCACCACTGAAATTCAATTTCATCATTGCATCATCGTCTACATAAAAAAAGTCTGCCCTTGACAAACTTCAGTTTCTGTAGGTCTATGGCTGAACTAGTACTAGATCTCATCTACTGTTTAATGTCAATGTGTGTGCTGCCTCTGTGAATCTCACTGATATCTTTTGGGTAATGGTTTCCCCCACATAACATACTGTATTGTTAGGCAAAATAGCATTCATAATAATTGGCACTACTGGCAAAAAGGGTTTAATTTTTGCTAGCCAAGAAAGAAAAGCACAAAGTGTAAATGTTTTTGTCTGAAAGATCAGTTTCAGCTAACTTTGTTTTCCCACTTATTATTCTAACATTAGTTTTTTTTTCAGTTGCATGCTTTAACAAAATGTTCTTTTCAGTAACATTTATACTGGATAGTCTTAAAATTAAGCAGTTAAAATCCTCTCACAGTCCATAGCCACTAACATGTTCTTTTTGCTGTTTCTTGGTCTTAAATCTCATGCACATTGCTCCGTTTGTATCTACATTATTTACAAGCAATACAGCCGTCCTGTGTACCCAGGTCTCTGTCTAAAGTTTTCATTATGGGAGTAAAATAATTTATAATCTTAAATACAGTCCTCTTATGAAAAAGTTTCAGGGTCCTCGTATCCCCTTACCTCGTCAGTTTATATACAGAAATATGCAATAGTCCAAAATATGGATTTGATCGCCCATATGGGCTAATATGGGGACCAGTGCCCTGAATAGGGGCAGGTATAGGACCCATGTCTTGTACAGAGCAAGCATAGAGACCTCTCAGAGTCAAGAAGAAGTCAAGGCAATGGTATGTGACTCTCTCCTCAAAACCACAGTTAGGATTTAGAGGTTCACGCAGAACAAACTAACAGAGACATTTAACCATTGGAACATGTCATATTTTTATCACACGGGGTGGAAACCAGTCTCAAGCTAAACCATTCTTGAGCCAGTTAAAGAAATAATTAGACCCTTAAATAAATAATTTTTTTTTAAAAAAAGCACCCAAAATAAGTAATTTGTCCTTACACAGTTCACATTACACAGGGCAAGGATAAGTTAATGGAGACATAAGTGAGACACAATTACACATAGAAATACAAAAAGAAACAACACTAAAGCAGTTTGGCAAGCATGCAGGAGCTCATAGCTCAAACACATGCATTGAATTGAACAAACACTGACACACCACGTCAGGCGAGCAAAATGCTGCCTCTAAGAACGACTCCTTACAAAGTCCATGTAACAAATTAAGACATCGTTATTCAAACCACTTCCCTTTATCTAACAATGCCCCCTTACATTCAAGTGCAGTTCCTCCCCTTTTGATTGGGTGACAGTTCAATAGGTTTGTAAGCCTGTGAGTGGTTGATGGTCTCGTGAAATACTTCATCAGCAGAATGATTTGCCACTGTAGCTCAGGATGATGGAGAGGAGGAATAAGCGAAAAATCTTGCATGCAAATGCAACATAGAGGTGAGTTTTTTGGTTTGTGTTTTCTTATTCTTTCATGGATTTCTGTTTGGATACAAAACACGAGAGGTTTTGTGTATTTTTCTGCATGTCAAAGTTGCCTTTTTCTTGAGTCAGCTGTTCTTCACTGGAGCTTTCCAGCACATCCAGCTGTTGGCTTGAACAGCGGGATGCCATCTGCCGGCACTTCCTCTCTTTCTCTGGTCTGACTCGTCCACTTGCTCTTGCAAAGAAACATACCCATGAAGAGTGCAAAGAATGCCATGAGGTTAATGTGATGGCCTCCCAGTGAAACTGTGGAGGAGGATCAGTGCTGTGGGCAGAGCCAGGTCCCTGGGCTCTGCCCAGCAGTCTGTCTGTCTGAGCTGCCATGATGGACACCTATCCTGTCCTCAGTCTGTCTGGGGAGAGTATTTCCCCTCTTGAGAGAAGAGGGTAGGGAGGGTGGGAAAAGGGAGGAGTAAATGAGAGGGCTTGAGGAAGGACTCGGAAATGGAAAAAAGAGCGAGTTTGGCGAGAGTGTAGGAGAGTAAAAGATGGAAGGGGGGGGGATTTAATAGTTTGCTCACAGGCTGAGGGTGCCGTGTGCAGGGCCTGGCAGTGGGCTCTCAGGACCCCTGGCCTTTCTCTGCTCTCTGGCCCTGAGGAAGACCAAAAACATGGAGACAGAGTCAGGGAGAAAACTGTGCGCTATGAATGTTAGCGTATCGCTTGGTGATTTTTCAAATCCTAAGACCAAACTGAGTGCAAATGCAAGAGTTATCCATCAAACGTCCATCCATCACATACACACACGCACACACACACGTACCATGTCATCTTCCCCACACATCAATGCATACAAAATAAGAATGGCAGGCCAAGCAACACCCAAACTCTCTCAGTGATAACAAAAGAACATGCCCCTTAAGAAAACCATATGCAAAAAATGGCTTTTCTGTCTGTCAGTCATGCACTGATATCATTCGGCAGTCCTGAGAGGGAGAAAAAGAGAGATAGGGAGTAAAGAAAAGAGCAAGCGAGCCAGCGAGCAGGAGGAAAGCATAGTAGTCCAGGATACTCCTCTCCCCCTCCCTCAGCTGACATGCAAACAGGCACCAGCCTCTGGGAGGGAGGGGGCGGGATAGGCAGGATAGGGCTCACCTGTTTCAGAGGCCTATGGTCCATCAAGGGGCTTCACAGGGACGGCAAAACAACACCAACTATTAGCACCTCTGCATTCTGTGCTGGTGTGCGTGTGTATGGGTATAAGAGTCGGCCTGAGTTTGCAGTGTGTGTAGATGAGTTTACAGGAGTGTTTGTGTCTCACCTGTGACGGCAGCGGAGCAGGAACCTCAGGATCTTGCGAGCAGCCTGGTTCTGTTTTTTAGTTAGGAGGCTGCTGTAAGAGGAGATGCAGGTATGAGATACTTGTTTGGCATACAAAAACCCTGCGCCTGTGTTCTCGTGTGTGAGATACCTGAGGGAGTGCCTGTAGGAGCGGTAGTATTGCTGGATGAGGACTGCTGCTCTGCGACTCTGCTGGAACTTCCTTTGTTCGTGGAAACTTCGGAAACGACTCTGGATCAGGATGGCGGCTAAGGTCATCCTCTTATAAAGTGCATACTAAATAAAAGAGAGGACAACAACATTGTCAAGCCCGTTTCTACAAAAGAAATGCCCCTTTTTAGTTTTGAATCTTTAAAATGTAGTTACCATAATCTCATATCCTGAGTCATTTATATACAGCGCTATCACTGTGATCATACAGCCGTAACCAAAAGCTGAATTTAAATATAGTACATGACAAACAAAGCCAAACACATCAGACAGCTACTGTAGCTGTTGATCTTACCTGCTTGTATTTTTTATAGCAGCGTTGAATCACTGTTGCAATTTTGTGTTGTTCCTGAATGGGACCCTGGGGAGGATGACAGAAGGAGAATGTCTAATCACTCACAGATGTGATACAGTCACAGGAAACACCAACGTGTTCATCGTGCAAGAAAGCACCAGGAAGAAAAAGATGGTCCACTGCTCGAATTCAGTTCAGACTGCTAAAAAAATCCTATCCCTTTTTGTTTAAATAATTTTAGCTTGGAGTCCCACTTGCCTTGTGTTTTCTGAGAGAGTGCAGAGCATGCCTGATGGTTTCATACAGCTCTCTTTGCTCTGCTTCAGTCATGGCTAGACAGGAGGAGTTAGCTTTCAACCTCTCCTCTTTCATAGCTGCACAGAGGAAGGAGCTCCACGCAAAAGGGGAGGACGGGGCTTGGTTAGCATGAGGACTCTGCTGATCCTCCAGCCCTGAGAGTGATTTTGGTTTGGGGCTAGGAGTCTGGGGCTTGGATTTTAGAAACCTGGGGAAGACAGAAACCAAAGCAAACACAGAAACAGAAAATGATTTCAGGTATTTATATGTCATGAAAAATAAAGTGCTGTACTGTCATTCAACATCCTTTTACTCACCTTTCTACTTCTTCAAGGTACCCAGACAATAACCTTACGTCACTGCTGATCCCCACCTTCCCAGAATCTCTTTCAGTGTCCATGGTCTGCTTCAGCCTACCAGCTGAAGCATCCATGATGTGATCAGCTAACATAGTAATGTCCACCTAAAAAAGAAATGTGAAGAATCAGCTCTCAGTTTCTTTGAAACTGAAAAATACCCTCGCTGAATGTACTAAAAATACGTATAAGAATAAAATATAGCACCAGTATATAAAAAGATCAAATGGCTCTCCATACCTGCAGGTCATCTACATTATCCTGATAGGTCAGCAACTCTGTCTCCTCCCCCCTGTGTGACAGCACTCTCTGACGCAGGTGGATGGCCAATCGTTCTTTTCCATGGATCCGCCTGGCAAGGCTACGTTGCCCAAGAGTCTGTCTCAGGTTCCACCTGGTGCCCCCTCCAGAACCCCCAATCCTGGCCTGCAGGTGGGAGAATGGGGCACTGGGGAACTGAGGCCAGCCAGGGCTGGAGAGAGGTGCATTCTGACAGCTCAGGTTAGAAGATCTAGTTTGTAGGGTCTCAGCGAGGGGAGAACATTGAGGATTAGGACTCGGAGAAGAGTTGAGGAGGGAGTTGATGCCAGGGGTTGAGTTAGTGAGCTGTAGCTGGCTCTCAGGGCTGGGTTTGAGTCTCTTCGTTGGGGGTGGACCTCCTTGCTCTCCTGGGGTTCCCTGCAAGGGTCTTTGTCCAGTTTGGCTCCAGCTCTGGTTCTGGTTGTCTGGTTGACTCTCTGCTCTGGTTCTCCTGAGCTCTGAATAAGCAAAGATAAGAACATATAATAAAACCAAACAGGATTTATATAAGACATACCCCATGCATACACTTATGGCTACATCAGTAGACAGACGATAACATTACTCCTCACTGTTAATTTTCCAAAAAGAATTTTCAAATTAACAATGACTCATTTGGGAAATCGGCTAATTTGCCATCTTGCCCAGAGTTATATGCAGATCTTGATGCCACTTATGCCTGTTAATTAAATGCTATTTGTAACTGAAAAATCAAACAGTGAACTTGGCTCAGCAAAAACCGCCCTAAGAGAAAACATTAGGCTGTCATAACCTTTAAAGCTACCAGTATAACATATTGTCATTGTTTTTTGTTTTAAAAAAAGTCTTTACAAGATTTAATAGGGTTATGTGCCATTTGCTTTCCTTGTCCTGGATACATGTTGAAGTAACCTGTAGCACAATGGTTCCTGAGTTAATAATACATGTGACTATAACCACAATAACATTTTCTAACATCAACTAAGACAAGCAGTTGTACATAATATGATGATACAAAATTAGATAATAAATAAAAACATATTCATTAGAAATTCCTATTTTGTCTTTTCATGAGTTAGTCCTTTAATATGTAGCAAAACATTTTCATTTGGTGCAAGATATTATGTATTTAGCACCTGAGTTTGGATTAGGGCTGGAGCTTTTGCTTATTCCACTTGTCTGTGACGTTCCCCTCCACCTGTCAATCCAAGAATCTGGAGGCTGGCCCTGAGTTTGAGGACTCTGTTGCAGCTGTTCCAAGAGCTCAGCCAATCGAGTGTGGCCCCGTGATCGGGCAATGTTCAGCGGCAGTCGTCCCAGCGAATCAGGAATGGCTAGAGCTCTTGGGTCCCACTGGTAAAGCACCAAGGCTGCCTCAGTATGGCCCAGAGCACATGCCCACATCTGGAGAGTATAAAACAATACAAACATAACCCACAGACGTTCAAATAGAAGCACACACTGATATATTATAAGATGTATTATATATTGATTTCTCACCAACGGGGTGCAGGAGAAGTGGTCAACATTGAGAGGATCCACTTCTAGCTCGAGATCAATGCTGTCTGCGTGCTTTGTTCTGCAGAGCCAAACAACAAATGTAAAAGGTACTGGCTTGGTCTGTGCTCTCATAATAGAGTGCTTAAATCTGTGCTACTCACCGCCACCGAATGAGTGTCTGGATGAGCCCTGCATAGCCCTGAGCTGCAGCCAGATGCAACAAGGTCATTCCTCTAGAGTTCTTATTATGGATGAGTTGATTAGAAGAAGCCCAACACGGCTGAGACATCATCTTTTCACACACCACCACCACCCGACCCTCAAAGGTACCCTGATCAGGAGACATCTAGAGCATTGTAAAAGAGGAAAAAAGATAAGTTAGAATAAAAATGGGAATTTCAAAGAATGTCCTCCCAGTATTTGATAATAAAATAATGTTTTTAATTGACCAAAAATGTTGATCATTATGGTAGTAATGTTTATGTTTCCTTAGGAAAGTCAAGTCCTCAACATTACCCCAGACCTTGTGAAATTCCTGTTTGCTTGTATAAACCTGCCCTTTTATAACCAGTTGTTTTTTTATTATTAAGGCCACGAATGTCTAAAAAAGTTAATACATCATTCTGTTCATCTCAGAGTAAAACGTCATTAAACTGTACAGGATGTTGTTAGATTATTTTCCTATAAAGTAGATTAGTGTTAAAGTCTCAGAAATTGAACCGGTAGTAGAGGAAACCTTCAAATTGAGTCCCAATTAATTAAACTCAGTTTTAAAGACTTTCTTTGACTTCTTTCAGTTCCATTTGTTTCAGTGTGTTTGTCTCGCTTATAGCTATATGAGGAAATATCTCTCCCAAATAGAATCACTGCCTTACTTGAGTCTGCTGATCAGTGGCTCCTCCCCCCTCCACTCCTCCGCCCTTGGTTGCCATGGCTTCTGAGCTGGGGCTCTGATTGGTTATTTCAGCCATTCTCTGCTCCATCTGCTCCAAACGTTCCAAGATGGACATCCTGAACTGGGTATCTACAGAAATGCATATGAAAAGTGTTAAGTTATTTCCACTGGCTGTTTTATTCTTATTTTTTTTAGTAAATAAGAATTATTCTTTGGGACATTCAGTTAAGAGACGGATTGACAGAAGGGCTCATCTTAAGGGCTCAATACTGACATATAAATCAGAGCTGAAAATCAAAAAAATCCCATGAATGATTAGAGGAATCTGGTAAACATACAATGGGTTGGCATGCGTGTGAGTAAATAAGTTGGCATGTGAGTGAGTAAATATTCAGTCCAACAGTAGTTTATCTCCATAGCCTGGGTGTGTGTAATTGTGTCCCCTTGTTTTAGTGCTGCTGCAGTTTTGCTGCAGTGCACATTATGTCATCCCACCTGCTGCTATCTTACTCAATTTTCTGTTTTCCTCTCATTTCATTTCACTCAATTTTTTTCTGCTGTCTGCAGCACAAAAACTCAACAGAGAAGGTGGAGCTATGTGAGCTGCACAAAGGCATCTCTCCTGACCTCACAGCTAAGTATTCCAACATTTTAATAGCAGGTGGCATGAAAGCTCCCATTCCTAAAATCACATATCACATATCTCTATCACATATCCATGAAAATAGAGATGCATAAATATACTCACATTCACAGAAAATTAAGTTTACATTTTGGTGGCACAAACATTTTGCAAACATTTGTGGTGAGGCTACAGGTGATGGGAACGGCTTCATCTTTGTGTTTTTTTACAATTGCTGTAAGGCCTCAGTAAGTCATAAAAACCACCATGCTGATTTTTTATACAACTTGGCAGTGAAGTGGACCATTGGCAACGGAAGATTGAACTGTAGTAATGATTTGCGTGGAAAACATCCAGACCTGAAGGTTGTTTTGGCTCCAAATTGAAATAGCACAAAAAAGTGGACACGCGTTTCCTTTTTTTACAAAACTGCAACAGTTAGTATCTTAAGCTCCCAGAAAAATAAAAACATGTTTTTAAAAGGAAGGGTGTTGTAACACAGTAGTAAACACACCTCTTTCACATCTTTTTTCCCCTAGTGTTTTCCTGGCACTGAATATGTTAATAGTTTCCAAACACAATGAAGCTGATCAGTGAACATGCTCAGTAATTCCCACTGTGCCGTGGCCTGTTAAAATAAAAGTTGAAAGTTCCTCAAACATAATTATACCTGTGGATTTGCCTGCACTGGACTCTTGCAGTGAGACAGGATAATCAGTGATGAATCCAAAATCAGGATTGAGGTTAAAAAATACCAAAAAAACAAAACAAAACCTAAAACAAAACTCAAATTTGGTACACCTAAATGCCTTAAAGTATTGGCTCAATTAACCATTAAACTAATAACAAATAATGCTAATATCAGTAGTTTTCAAATGGTAAAGAAAAGTTATCTTTATATTCAGATTATAACAGACAAAAGTAGATACAAACTTCAAGTCGAACATAAACGTCCTAATAGTGGGTTAGGGTTAGGGTGGGCTTCTGGGTGTAATCCTGCATCTGGCTGTTTATTCTGTGGGCCCCTGCAGGAGCCCCTTATCCCCTTAACTGCTGTTAGTGGGCTCAGTGGAACTGTCCACAGCTCGTGGTGCTGAAACTTAACAGATCAACAAACTCAATGAGCACATCTGCACCAAAACAGGCTCCTCTGTGTCATCCAGTTCAATCATCCAGCGTGCAAACAACCTGATGATTTGTGGCATTTCCCTCTCTTTGTCTCAAACGAAGTCTCATCCCATCACCACATGTACTTCCAAATATTCCTGACTAAAACTTGGAATGCCAAAAGCAAATCAGTCTCTTCAGCCACACATCTGAACCCACCACGAGCCACATCTATGCCTATTAAGATGATCATTAAAAAAAAGGAAACTTAGCACACACCTGTACTCTAAGAAATGCGCGCGTTTATGTTAAAAACCGTTTAAAAGCAAATATTCTACGAACCCCAAAAACGGCCAGTCTGTCTGTGCGCTTCCCTCTTTGTTCTCGTTCCCGCTTCAGCTCAACCTCCGTTAGTTTGAGGTGTGCGACGCGCAGATCGCTACTCCGACCGTACAAAACACAAATAAGAGCGGGAGGGCGGGGGGGGGGGGGGGGGGAAAAACCAGATCCCCCCCCCCCGTTTGGGGGGGGGGGGCTTCAAAAAAACCCCCCCCCCCCGAGCTGCGGGAGGCTCGGTCGTCATCGGTGGACCAGACAGCACACACACGCTCAAATGGCACGATGGCATTTGGCTTTGTTGTAAACCACAGGGGGTTGTATACGACCGGTAGGAAAATAGATTAATGTATATTTACCTATTCTATATATCTATTTTCTACCAACACAGAGCTTCGGCTCTCACATTTGAGGCCAAACAAAGGAATTTAGGGGGAAACGGGCATCCTGGAAGCATACACAGCTTCATAAATAGCCTTTTGGTATAATATATATATATATATTTATATATATATACATATTCCACGAGGCTGCGCAGCCCGATGTCATTGGTGACCAACATTTCTAATGTCAAACGGAGCGAGCCTTCCATGTCCTTGCCCTTCATTCCGGCAAACAGCCAGCCTGCTGTGACTGAACGCCGCATTGCCGCATTGCGCAACACACAGACGGGGGCGAACACAGGGTAACCTAGGACATGCCTCACCACCGAGACCCATGCGGGTCCAGGCTGCGGTTCCTCAGATGTGTTCACACATAAAGGGCTGACCCGTGCAGTGCGGTGCAAACATCTGCAGCCAGCCCCGCGTACCGACTGGAGGACTTTTAATCAGCATCTTCAATGATCTTTTATGTTTGATCCCACTAACATAACCTCGTTTGTTGTCATAGAAATAAGGTTTCACTCAGAATCTGATCCTGAATTCTAACCTATCTGGGGGGAAAAAGAAAACCCCCTAAACTGCACAGTGTTCTTATAGAATGTATAGGGAGATAAAAAGTGACAATCGTGTTCGAGAACGGAAGAAGCATTGTGTTGGTCTTTACGTGACACTAAGCAGTATCTGAGAATGAAGCCAAAATTAGAATAAAAAACAGAACAAAGCAGTACACATCAACAGTTTCTGCTACAGTTACAGAAAAGATTTCTACAGAGTCATTTCAGGGCTGGTTATGTTAAAATGTTTACATGTTTATGGTTTATTCTGTTTACCGAGTGAATGACATGAGACAGAAAATCAGTGCCCCTCACTGCTTCATCCTTGCAATCACTTTTACCCAAGACAACGGTGAAGAGCATGAACACTATACACTTTATCATTTCATCTCTCATGTACCTTGTGCTTAAAGTAAGAATTAGCACATGACAGATTTTCCTTTGTACAGCATGTTGTGTTGTCATATCAACTCATCTGTTCCCGTTAAGGGATGCTCTGTTTTTAAGAGAACATTTGGAGTTAGAAGCAGTTAAAACAATTTACTGCCGCACATTTAACTGATGTGAATATGTAGATTCTCAAAGGACTTTTATTGGCTCAAAAGATGTATCGCACAAATGTATTAGTATTATTGCTGTGAATTCTTGACAAAGTCTTCTAATTGTAACATCCAAACAGTCTACATATGTGCAACACAGAAAGAAGAAGCAGCAGAACCACTTAAATCAGACTAAAGTGAGGCAAAGCACTTTCTTTATTGGGTTTCGTTGCTGCAAAATAAATACTGGGGTACTATACCTAGAAAAGCATGGTTTCAAGATTGCCAAAGCAAAAGCTCAAAGAAACCATCCTTAGCACTATTCAATAACTCAATCTGTCAGATTCCTCCTAAAAGCACATCATAAGACAAATTAGCATTATCAGCATTCAGCATTAAATATGCCTGGCCATCTGTTAATATGAATGCCTGCAGTTCAGACTTGGGATTTCTGACCTAAATGTGAATGCTAGGGCATTCATCTTTACAGATAAGTAAAAATAATGATTGGTGACATTGAGTACACTTAAACTAACAGAGCAGAGTGAAATTGTTAAAGGGGCTCATGATGAGCATTTCCAAACACTGTTATCCTGTCAAAACGCAAATGATGACTCTTACCATCCAGGGACAGCCAGTCGTGCTGAGAGGAGGGCAGGGCAGGGAGGTCACGTGCCTTATATTCAAACACCACAGAAGAAGAGATGACTTCACCACCCATGGCCACCTGCAGCATCACCAGTCCTGTGTCGTGGGCTGGAAAAAAAGGGATACCAGGAGAAAAATACATGACAGGCACAGCGTAATGAGCAGATACATGCAGGGTATTAATCTTTTAAAGACAAAAGTCAAAGAACATTCAGAAAATAATCTTATCACACTGTCAATATCTTGATTTTTCTGGAAGCTTCCACCAGAATAGATCAGGCCTTATTTTCCCTTTGCTTTCCCTTTGTGACATCTTTAAAAATATTTTATGAAGAGGTAAGTGCATGGTGTTCTTCATAAATAGTGTCCCATCACACAATGTTCTGTTTGTTATTCTTCTCACAGTCTCATATAAGATTCTCCTGATAATGATGTGCAGATGCAGTAGTAATAGTTCATCTGTTTTTTTAAGAGAAACTTCAGAGAAACTGCATCATGTTGGCAGTGTGAGTAGGAATGTGTGTGCCGTATGTTTGTGTTACCTGGGCAGTAGCAGCGCAGCACCCCGGGCTGGATGAGGGCAGCAGGGACACTGATGTGGTCAAAGAGGCAGCTGTACTCGCTGCTCGACTCCAGCCACGGACCTGTAATCAACACCTTCACTCCACCCTGCGGAAAACGAGAAAAACAAAGAAAAGTAACAGTTGCCAGATAGGCAATAATAGCTGCCAAAGAGATAAAGTCTGAGAGTAAGACAAATCATACAACAATGACACACAAGACACACAACAAGATTAGCTGTAGGTTTGATGAATAAGTGATTGCAGGCACACGCAAGTATGTGTGTGAATTCAAAAAGAATATTTTTTTTTTTTCAAAATTTCATCTGCGTCACAACATACATACTGTTTTAATCATAAAGACAGCTGCATTGCTCAATCCCAACATATCAACATTTTTTCCTCACACTGACATTGTGAGCTCCAGTGTCTAATAAGAACATAAAAAATAAGGAATTTTCTGCTCAGAAGGACAAAGCCATTGAGTTATTAGATGTAACCCTGATTTTCTCAGATTTGGATGTGTTTTTAAGCTATAAGAAAGAGAACTGATTTAAAAAAAATGTTTGCTTAAAATAAAATTGATCTAATACTTGTAATGCTGGTAGAAAGCTACAGGACTTGGAAGATTAGCTAATGTAATCCGACTAATATATGATGCTGTTTTTTATAGTAGTTACGTGCAAAGTTCCCTCTGGTTTCATCATAATTCAATGACAAAATTGCTGTCTGAGCATTTAGGAGTGGAACAAGGGTAAGTTAATTAGGCCACCCCAGGGAATCAGAGAAATATTGAAATTTCATTAAAACCCAATCAGCTGAGTCTGAAATATTTGGCCCCCCTAATGACCACATACTATCAATCATGAAGGGTGAGGACTAATTTCACTGTGGGGAACAGTAATGAATGATGGAGTTGAGTTTACTAACCTCTGGATAAGACCACTCTGGGGAGTAGTCTGTCACACCAAACAGCCTCCCAGTCTCCTGCAGCAGTCCCAGCGCTCCTTGTTCCACCTCAGAAGCCTGCAGATGGCCAGCTCCTGCACCCGGCTCCTCTCCTGCTGCCCCTTCCTGGGGCATCAGAACCCCAGAGACCGCTGCGCCCACCCCACCCCCAGAGCCCTCAACTGAGATGAAATCATTGATGAGATCAGAGAACTGGCTCCCAAAAGACGCCTCGAATCCTTCCAGGCTGATTGCTGCCCCGGCCCCGGCACTCGTGGCCGACACCCCTCCACCTTGCTGAGGGAGTGAGGCGTTGTAGAGGGCCCCGTCAATGTTCGCGCCCGCAGCTATTGACTGAGGACTGGCCCCCACCGAATTGTTGGTAGCCCCTGACAAGCTTACACCATTACACAGGATCTCATTTTGCCCTCCGCCTCCACCTCCTCCACCCTCCTCCCCACCGCCAGTGTCATTTGTGGGCTGGAGATAATGTTTGGTTTCAACACTCGGATAGGCCTCATGAGGATCTCCGGCCTTGAGTAGTAACTCTCCCCCATTCTTTGTGGGCTTGTCCAAAGCTCCAACCTCTTGATGGCCTCTGCTGCCTTGCTGGTCGACAGAAGTATCCTTTGCTGTTAAGGGGAAAGTGCCCCCGGTTGCTGCTTGCCCATTCCTTGCACACATGGCCTGTTGGTCTGTGCTGGCTTGGTGGAGGTGTGTATGTGGGTCTCCATTGGTGACTGGAGACTCTGTTGGCACCGGAGACAGGCCCATATAGACCTGAGACTCACCAGATTCCTGGGTTGCCTTGGTGCCATTGGTCTGCAGCTGCGAGGCCTGGCTTGTCTGAGGGGAGGCCTGGAGGAAAAGGCTGGGGGAAGTGTGGTGTGTGGGCTGGGTCAGACTTGGGACACAGGCTGATGACATGACGGCACTGAAATCCATCTGTTCCAGGGTGGTGCTAGGGCTGAGGCCAGTTCCTTCTCCAACATAGCTGCTCTGGGTGGCCAGAGGCTGCTCCAGTGTTGTAGCTTCTGTCTTGATATTGTTGACAAGTGTTGGATTATACACAAAGCCATTAGAAGAACAGTGGAGCCCTCCATCATCACCATTGCAGCCTTCAGTCTTGCCTCCACCTCCTCCATATGTCTGACCCTGCTTGGGATTGTTGAGGAAACAATCAGGGTCAAAGGTCATAGCGGTTTCCGGAAGGCTCACCCCTCCAGCAGAGTCCAGAGAGCTGGACAGAACCAACTCTCCCCCCTCCCCTACGCCCACCCCTCCGGGAAACGATGCAAACCTCTGGTTGTCAGGGGCAACAGCTAACAAAATACCAGTGGCAGTGCTCTCATGGGTGGATGCCAGCAGGTGGGTGTGGCCAGCGGAGTAGACGGAATCCCCAGTCAGAGTGGTGACCTCGGACATAAACACAGCAGTGCTCTGTGATAGGCCAGCCCCGATGGCAATGGCGGGGCTGTCAGCCATGTCACTGGTTATTGACAATGGGGAGCTCTGGGTGGTGTCAGGTACCTCCACCTGGTTGGTAGAGGTAGAGGAAGACACCTCCATGCTGCTCTGTGGTAGTAAGGAAGGTTTGGTGATCCTGCCGTTCCTCCTTTCCCCTCCGCCCGCTCTGCTCCTGCCCCCACCAGGACCGGGCTCTGTCTGGCCCTCTGACACATCGCTGTTCTGGACCTCTGTGCCATCTGCTTCCTCAGCTCTCTGGCCTGTTGCTACGCTGGTAGCAACTGTTGTCCCCCCTCCTGCTGCTGCTCCTGACTCCTGCTTGGATGAGATGATGCGCTGCTTGACACTGGAACATTTCTGATGCAGGCTGCTCCCAGCACCTGATGGAATAGACAAAGGGCAGCTGTTCAGTCAGTGCAAACTTGCAGCATGTCAAGCCCTTTCTTTTTTCTCTGGTTAATTTGATTAGTGTTATGAAATTGCCTCACATATTTGACAGCTTATAATAGCACCCTCTAGTGTTAACAATATGCAGTAAAATGAGTTAATCAGGTAATATAAACTTAAAGATTTGCAAAAATATGCTTATTGTGTGGTATATTGACTTCCACTTTCTAGGTAATTTCCTTTATTTACATTTTTTAAAATTTAGTTGAATACTTTTAGTTTATTTTAACATATACTGATAACCCCTCCCCACAACGAAAGTGGGATGAAGTCACTAATAAAGATATAAGTATCAGGGAAAACCACAAAAAAAATTAGCCCATGTGGTGGAGTGAATGAGAAACTAAGTGGTACTTTGGTAAAATAGGCTACTTCATTTTTGGTAAATGTCCTTATCTGCCCTTCTAGACTAAATAAAAAAAGATTGGTGAAATTACATAAGCATGTGTGCCCTTGATTGTACTCAGTGATTCTGATTTATGAATAATACATGCAGGATATTTCAGGCTCTTCTGTCTTCCTTCATTGAATTTCTCCATTTCATGGTTGGAGTTTGTTTCCGCCTCTAGGTGGTAGCATGGTGCTGACGTTTGGAACCATCAGCACCAAGAAATGTGGGGAAGGCCTCACTGAGCAGGATGTGTATGGAACAAATATTTAGTTTGTTGTGGACTTAAAAACACAATTTTGAAAAATGTTCTTATATCTTGTTGATTTGTTTAGACATCAAGAGACGTCCAGGTTTAATTACCCCTTACATTTTCTTTCTAAAAAAAGTAATAAAAAACAACAATTGATGCAAATCATTTTAGCGTCACTCTATACCTCTATTTAACATCGATACTTTTATGCATGTATAATATTGTTATTGTTATATTGTAAAATTGTTATTAGTATTTCATTAAATGACAGTATTTAATTAATTTCTCACTGAAGAATAATCAGTTGATTCATTTGGTCCCCATTAAAACAATCAACAACAATGTTTCCAGTCAGTAAAGATGCTAAAAATACACAGCATTTGCCATTAGTTACACACAGTTAGTCAGAGTTATCCACACTCCAAAGGGGCTTCTTCACAATCGTCAAACCGACAGTCCAAATTTAAAAGTGATTTAAAAATGAATTAGAATGGCTGAAGCTATAAAAAGTTAAAGTAGCACGTCTTAACATCTGTGAAGCTGTAATCATTAAATGTTTTTGCATGATGAACAACTTCAACGATTAACAAAATAGTTGCCAATTAATTTTCTGTCAGTCAGCTAATTGTCTAATCGTTTCAGCTACACTCCTATAAACAGTTGGCTGATTTAATTGATGCTTTAACACCACGTTTGTGTGAAAAAAGACTAATTTGAAAACTGATCAGTATATGAATCAAAAAGTAAAAAGTGCAGTGTTTAGCTGAGAAATGTCGAAGTGACAAGTTAAGGCAAACCATTCATCCATTCATCCATTCTTATTTCAAGACCTTCTCTACCTATATGGGGTGGCTGTAGATTGGGGTATGAACCAAGCTGCCCACTTTTGTCAAGTACTAAATAAATGTTACATAAACCTGCCCAATTAATTGTTTCATATCTCTATGTTTCATGTTAATTAAGCTTAGAGACTAATGAATGATTTCAAGTTTGAAAATTGGGGAAATATCCTTCATGCCTATCTGAATAGCTGTGCAGTAAAATACAAAAAGCACAAAAGCTACTAAGTGGAAGATTATCACGAACTGTAAAGTACAGGGTCAGTGTTGCCCATCTTTCACTGACTCATATTCCCTGAAGAAAGAAGCGTACAGGCCAGAACATAAGAGCCTGAAGTAGGAGAAATGTGACAGCTCAAGCAAAAAAAAAAAAAAAACTCACACATAGGCTTGAGCTGTCCAATGAGCTCCTCTTTGCTCCACTTGGCCCACTCCTTCCTATCTGTGTTGATGGAGCAGAGTACCGGGCCACATGGCTTCCCGCTATCGTCCACTGCCGGTACATTCAGGTAGTGCACTAGCACAATGTCTGGGTTCTACAACACAAGAACAAGCAGAACGCAAACATGCACTCAGTGTTAGTTTAACACAGCTTACATCCGTTATTTCCTTAACCCTCTTTCACCATTAAGAGGGGTGACAAAAACAAACGTATTTACAAAAGGAATTGGTAAGAGGAGAAACGGAGAAGGAAAGTGGAGGAGAAAGTGGAGGACAGGGAGGAGGTCAAACATGGCGTGTCAGATAAGATTGTTTCACCTGCCCATAAAAGATTTAACAGATGGAGCACACTCATCACTCTCTCCAACGCTGCAGTGTCTGCACGTGTGTTTGTGTGTTTGATAGAGAATATATATGGAGAGAAAGAGAATGAGAGAAACAGAGGGAGAGTAGTTCACACTATACTGTCAGTCAACCAGCAGACCTATGGAATTTCTATTCCATGAATGATTCAACAAGTGTTCTTGTGCTAACATGTGTGTGAAAGTTTGTGTGTGTGTGTGCGTGCGTGTATATGTGTGAGAGAGACAGCTTTCTCGTGATGAAAGATTCAGTGGAGAGACTCAGGTTAGGGGGTGGACCTGCTGAGGTGGAACACTTTTCTCTCCAAAAGAGGATATCACAGTGGGCTGCTACAGCCTCACACTGTGCAATGCAACAGCTTTCATGGACTGATTTATGATCATATTCACTGATGTGTTTTGATATCTGTGCAAAGAGCAGAAAATGGCACATTACAGATAAAGTAGTCAAATGTTCCCCCTATAATTTAAAACTGCCGGATTTCAACTGGTAGGGCAAGCTATGAAAAAATATATATATAAGCGGTGGGTGTAAATTTCAATTTGGAGAGATGGCTTGTATTTCCTTGTAAATTTCATGAGACAACTCAAAGAAGACGTTCGAGTGATGACTACATAAATGTCTGTGCATTTCGACATTTTAAACGGACATGGTTATTGAATATTTTATTCTAAATGAACAGCCAGATGAGGAGGGAGGAAGTTTGAATGTACACAGACATGTCCAAAATTCATCATGTAACATACCATTTGAAAATGATGAGGTCCTGGTGAACACTCCCTGCATGACCAATAGAGTGGGAGGCTTGTGCGAATGTGTGTGTGTGTGTGTGTGTGATGCACACAGCTGCTGCTCTCTTTTGTCTCTCACATGAGCAGCAGACTGAGTCCAACATCTTCATGAAAAGCAACATGCATCTATACACAAGAGACACCTGTGCAAGTGTGTGTGTGTGTGTTTGCGAGGGCAAGGAATGTGTGGCATTCATAGCTCCGGGGTATTCTCTTTGAAAAGACCACATGGTGAGCAGCATCTGAGCTCTTGATGCAAGTACTGAGAGTCAGGGTAAGATAACAAACTGTTCTTAGGAAGTTACCTTCAACTTCTGGAAAAGAGATATTTGAACTGCTCTGCCCGGCATGGCATTGTATAAGACCTTTATATCAAGTAAATTCCATCAGTATCTATAGGACACTCCAGTCAGCCAAACAACATAAAGCTTTATTATCCGCCCAGTCTTGTCATAGTATTTTCAGCACTCTAAGTCTGCCTCATTAATTTAGAAAAGGAGGATTTTTATAGCTGGTTTATGGTTTAGCTTACTGTTTTGTTTTGAAAAATCAAACAGGTGAACCTTGGCGTAAAACTAATATACTATATAATTTCTAACAGTCCTTTTTAGCAATGAGTGTCAAATAAAACTTAACATGGTTGAAATGAGGGTTCCACAACGGCTAGAAATGTGAGGAAAAATAGGCCAATATGACAAAGTATTGTGCTCTACATAAAGCATAATAAAAAATCCAGCTTTATACTGATTGATTTGCACCTATGTAAATATGTTAGAACAGGCAAGGTGGGAAAGGGCGGTTGGCTTACCTGCAGCAGCCAATAGCATCTACGATGGAAGGTGGGGATGATGGAGGAGTGGACGTAGCAGCCATACAGACACTGGAGAGAGGAAAGGATAGGACAGCAGAGGAGAGGAGATTACAATGGTTAACGAGAACAGAAAAAGGGAGGAAGCAAGGCAAAAATTGCACAAGGGGAGGAAAAGGAGAGGACAGCGAGGAGAGAACAGGAGAGGAGAACTTAGGTTATACCCACTTAGGTTGTATCGACTGTGGTGGAGAAAGTGTATTACAAACATGCTGTATGTGATTTTTTTCCTAATGTCTTTTCTAAAATGCCATCAATCCCGTGTTGACAATAACAGCAAAAAACAGAGTGTGAAATTCACCACCTCTGCAGTAAAGAACATAAACTAGTTGGAATTCATAAAAAGTTGTCAGCGTCAACACATATTTAAAATGGACAAGAAGATGAGGTGAGTGCTAGGGAAAAAGAGTAAAACCAGTGTTGATGAAATGAAGAAAAATACGTTCAGCATGGACTTCAACCGGTGGAATAAGTTCACGTCTGTGTGACATCAGGTTTGAGAAAAAGCCCCAAACAGTATAAGGGTTGATGTACAGATTTTCCTGTGAAATTTAATGTGAGTGGGAATACTTTGTTGCTTGTGCAATTCCAATGCCTGTGCTTCTAAACAAATACTTAATCCATGAAATACTTTAATTAAAAAAGAAAAAGGAAGCAGGGTAAAAAAAAGTCAGGATGAAATTCTAATTTTAGTTGTTGTTTTTTTGGTCGGTCTAAGGCATTTTGTGTAAAGGTAAAATGTATTCAGACTCAGTTACCATCCTTAATGGAAACTGTGCTGTGGCCTTTGACAGATGAGGGATACAATGATGACAGAAAAGCCTTAGATCAAGGTCACCACTGCCACTTCATATGCAGTAAAATCAAGACTTAACGACAGAGCCACGAAACATTTGCACATATATGAAGTGTCTTCCTTTAAAGACCGAAGTGCCACAAACACAAATACTCAGCAAAGAGACAGTATGTAATTTACACTTTAAGGATGCGCTTTTTTTTAATCTTTCACTCTTGCACGCACTTATATTTTGTCACCATTTTTCCTCTTCTCAGAAGTAGCCCGCCCTCTATCTAAAGTGTGTTTTGCCAAAGGCAGAGTGCATTTCCATATATTTCCATTCGATATGAGGAGGCTCTTCATCCAGGGTTATGTTTTTCTCTCATGCTTCCTGCCTCTCCCCGTCCTCCTTCTCTCCTTCTGCTCATCTTGCTGCTTTCATAATTCCTTCTTTCCCATCCCATGTTAAACACAGTACTTACTTGTTTGCTTGAGGGGTCGTGGGAATGGGTGACACAAACAATTACTGACCAAATAGCAGGGAGAGAAACACTTTCCTTTGTATGAATGTTTGCTGGAGTACGCTTACCTCTGCAGTGCACAAAAATGCATGAGATGTAAATCTCTGAGTGACTGTGAGGTTGTAAATAACAGAGGAATACTTCATTTCAATGATTGCCTTTTTGCCTTGTTTTGCCTATTTCTCATTCATCTTTAATGCAAAAGCGTTGAGCAGCCTGTGAACATACATGTGCATCCTAACAGTCTCTTCTTCACTCTCTCCACTTCATCTTTCTGTTTCTGTCACATGCATGCTCCCTCCTCTCACCTCCTGGTATATTCCTGCTGAATAATCAATTTCTTAGCTGGCTGATGTGACTCAAACACACACACTCACACACACACACACACACGCACAGACGCTGCCTTGAGACTGGATCGATACCCCTCTCTGTACTGCTGAAGGAGGCATTGACATCATTCCTGGCCTCAGGCCAAACACACTCTTACTTATCCTTCAGAAAGAGAGAGGAAGAGAGACAGGGACCAGAGCATGGAGGGAAGGAAAAGAAGAGGGGCACCACTCACTATCAGGTCACAAATTGGCCTGAAGTTTCAGCTGTGTGTGCGCATTTGTGTGTTCATTTGGGTTACACGTATGCATCTCCTCCAAGTCAAGGGGAGTAAGTTAAGGATAAGATTGGCAGTAAAACCATAGTCAGCAGCAAACACAATCATTGACTTGTTTTCCCCCTTCGGCCTCTTACCTCTACTCCCTGGACTTTCAGCTTCATATGATCCTCTCTGGTGGTCTTCCCATCTTTCCTCTTCTTCCAGCAGTAGCCATCTTTCCTATACTTCACCTTTTTACGGTTGTAGAGGATCATAGAGCCATTTTGAGGCCTGATGGAGCAAATGAAATAGGCAGGTGAGACAGGCAGACACTAAACGTGTTACGCTACATACACATGTGTTCACTGTACAAAGGAAACAGCAATTCAACAATATAGTGTAGGATTTATTGCTCTTGCTCTTGTGACATGAGTGTAACTATCTCACAGTTACATTAGCTGGTCTCATGTGCCCCCTCCCCTCTCGTACATAGCCTCACCATCCAACATGTTAATATTTTAGTAGGGTGATTTATTGGCACAGCAAGAACACTGGCCTCTAAGCTCCCTTTCTAAACACACCTGGTGGGATGGACATGCATGCAGAAACACAAACACACAGACGCACACTAGGAGCAATACGTGTACAAAGACAAAGATATTATGGTGATATCAGAGAAGGCAGGACCTACTGCTGTGTGTTCTTTGGGCTCAATGTCAAACCTGCGGCTCAGCAATCAATCATTACACTTTAAAACACAAGGGACGAGTGTGCGTTATTTAGTGAGAGTGTTGAGGAGGAAAAAATACTCTTGTGCCTTATCTCATGACAACAGAGAGAGGACAGTCCTGTTGACAATCAATAAACACTAACATATATATATATATATATATATATATATATATATATCTTCAGTATCTTCTATATATCTTCTCTCTCTAGTAGTCATGTGAACAGATCCACAAACAAAATCACACCTTGCTTCTCCTCCTCTCCCTTTTGTCTGTGTTCCTCTTCTCAATCAACCTCTACTCCTTATCCATCTTCTTATCAGACTATCTCCTCCTTTTCTCTTTACTTCTTCATTCCGTCAGTTCTCCTCTCCGGGTCTTCTCACCCTCTCATCTCTTTTATCCATTCTCGTGTTATCCTAACCTGCCTTTCTCCCAGCTCCTCTCCTCTCAGAATTTCATGTCGACACATCTGTATGGACTGAGAGGATTGCAGTGTACTCAGAGCACTGTGTGTAGTGAAATTGAATTTACTTTGAGCTGATTTTCTTTGACACCTTAAATCTGTTCTGTTTTGGGGCGAGCCTGCCAGTTTCTTAGTGGAGTGGAGACCCCCACCCTCCGATCAAAGCCAAGTATAGTCTCTGTCTCGAGCAGTGTGTGAGTCATCTTAGAGCTGCTGATTCTAATTATGTTACGGAGAAGATGGATGAGATCAAACGTGTGCTTGTGTGTGGGTGGCAAACGCGTGCGTGTACATATGTTATCGTGTGTGCGTAGTGATGCATGGATGTAGACGGTGCCCGTGTTCCTCTCAAACCTTGTGATTCAAGCAGACATAAATGCTATTGATTGTAACTAGGCTGTGATGTGTGGGATATAAAAAGCTTTTCAACCGTTCCACTGTGTAGCAGAGCAAAGACAGAGAGAAGTCAAGGGGTGGTTGGGGGGTAGCAGCAAGACAAAGAGGCAGAGTGGGTGTGTGAGTGTGCCTGAACAGGGAGGAGAGAAGGAGGAGCGAGAGGAAATAGAGGCAGAAAGGAAGTAAATGTCTCTACTCTGAAACAGATGAAGTAGTTCAGCGATGGGAGAAATCAAGGTCATTGATTGTTATCTCCCTACTGGCCCCCCCTCCATGAAAAGTGTTGCAACGCATGAGCACGCGTGGACACAAACACACCCACATACACGCAAAATATGCAGTCATATAAATGTCACTGGCTCCGTGAGCTGAGCTCCTTTCCATCTGACGGGATTAGGTGTAATCTGTTCTAATCGTGCCTCATGTCATGTGTAAATGGGATTATATCTAACTGCTGCTCAATAACACCAATATGACTGCTGCTGCTTGTGCTGCTGCCGGGAGGCTGAGGCTATACGACAGCACAACCAATCAATGAGAAATCTATCCACAACATAAACCGTGCTGGTGGCCTCCGACTGCTCCTGGGAAGAGTCCTTCAGCTAGCACAATAGGAACACAGAGGCATCACCTCAGGCTTAAAATCCGGCCCTACGATGACATCTTAACTTAACTTTTTCTCCCCTTTTTCCTACCTTTGGATATCTATTCTGTATATTTTATTTTTCACTCATTTCTGACAGGATATGCCTACGTCTGCATTAACTAAAGTAAATGTCAATAAGGTGATTCATCAATAATTCAACTTGCCCTTTTCCCAAGTCTTTTATTCTCTCTCCTCGTCTCCATCCACAGCCCATTCTAGGAAAAGGGCTACTTATGGTTATTTGAGATCAATGAATATTCAGTTTTGGAATGTGAATCCCTTTTCACACCCCATCTTATATACACGTGCTTCCTCTCCCTTTAAAGCCTCCTTCACCCCTCCTATGTCTGAATTATACATTAGTTATCCTAATACATTTACATTCATTAATACTCCATTTCCAGCTGACTTGGTGCTTTAGAGTCCGAACATGTTCCAGATTATTCTGTTCATGTAGAGCTGGCTGTTAGCAGGAGACAGCTGATGTTCATCAATAATATTCTAATCAAATGGAAGTACTTAATCATTGAGATTAAACCAAAGTGAGTCGCAAACTGATCAAGTGATACTGTGCTTGTATCGTGATGCTTGAAAGTTTTTGAATAATTTTCCACTATTATTCATAATTTGGTGTCAATTCAGGTCAGCTTTATTTACATTGTGTCAAATCACAGCTGAAATGTGATCTCAAGGAACAGATCAAAGTCTTAACTGAATTCAAGTGAAACAACACACCGCACAGTAAAATGATAATAATATAATAATATGCAACGATCAAAGGTAATCACATTTGAGAGAAATAGCTTAAGCACAAACAATTTTAACACATTTCTTTAATCTAAAAGACTTTCAGTTCTGGGATGTTATTGAGTTTCTCTATTGGTTTGTTTACAACGACATTAACGGCCGTCTTGAATATCTGCGTACATATGATTTAATAAGTGAATACCAAATTTTGCAGTTTGCATACTTTTGCCAATAAAATCTACGTATGTTGAATAATTTTCTTCCAGGGGTGAATTGTTTCCTGGATTGAAGTGGATTCTCTAAATCCCAATTACATTTAAAACCAAAAGGTTCACAAACTATAAAACACCACTGTCAGCCACATGTTCCACATGTGTGGAAGTTGTTTCCTCACCTGGTTTTGGGCGATGTTGTCAGCCACTCATCGTGCTTCTCAAAAGTGATGAGATATGCAGCAATCTCCTAGAGACAGAGGAAAGACAGAAAGGTTATATTGGTGTGTGCGCATTAGTGATAGAGTGTGTGACACTAGGAGATAAAACATAGCAAGAATTTCCAGATGACCTGCTGATGCCCACAGAGAGTGCATCCCTATCTGATTGCCACAATGAGGTTTGGCTATTCTGATTGGTCACAGAGTAGCCAGTCAGGAGACATATGCAGAGGACAGACCCTTGGGGCCAACAACCAATCACGCTCACCGACACACTGATGTCTCCCTCCACTGGGGAGGAAAAGCTATCTTTTTAATACACACACTCATGCCACATAAACACACACGTGTGTACACAGACACATGGGGCGCAATCCTATACACTAGCTGAGTGAGTGTTTTGATAGGAAAAGTTTTCTTGTACTTTGCAGTTCCACAGTTTCCCGTCAGATAAAGCCCACTCCTAACTTGATTCTTAATTCCTCCGGCTCTCTTTTCATCTCCTCACCCCTCCTCTCCTTTCCACACTGCCTCTGTTCTTCTTCCACACTCATATGAATCCAATAAGGAAAAAGGAAAGATCAAATCATACAGGTGCATTCTACCAAGAGAAGCGAAAAAAACAAATCATCCACAGACATACACACCCAGGCGAAGACAAACTAAGATGCAGAAAAAAAGAAACTATTGTTTATACCTTCAGCTTTTTAGCTGCTTGTGAAACTCCACCTTTCCCTTTGCTTGGTGAACCTTCTCACCCCTGGTATCTTTCTTCAAACATCACTCTATCTGTCTATCAGTGGCTCCCATCTCTCCCTCTCACTTGTTGTGGAAGACTGTGAAATGTAAATTGTCCTCTTAAGACAATCAGTGTTTGAAATGTGGCACAAAGCAGTAGTGAGGAAGACATCAACACTCCAGCACTCCTTCATCTGACCCTTCAGATCAACAGTTTCCTTCAAGACTTATTTTCTCTCTCAGGCACTGAATGTGTGTGTCCCCGTGTGTGTGAAAGTGTTAGTGTATGTGTATAGATGTTCCTTCCGGTTTAGCATGAGAGCAGCCCAGCTCGACACTGATCACGCAAAATAGTTGGGACGGGAGGAAAGGAGGGAAGATAGCAAAAGGGAAAGCAGCTGGAAGGTGCTGGCACTTAACTGGATTGTTTTTTTAGTATCCACTGTTTGATCCTCGCATCCCACCCCCTACTGTCTAATCTTGAATTTATAGAGGTGTTTATATATGTATGTGTGTGTGCGTGGGAGGGACTGTTATCACACCCTTAATAATTATCACTATCAAGCTGGCTGCTAATAATGTCTGTCTATCTGAGGCACATAAAACTGCTCAGAGACTGCACACAGACACATTTTTAGCCATAGCTTGGCACAACTGCACATACACAAGCACACAAGGACTGCCTCATTCATTTATGCATCTATTCATTAGCTGTGACAGGCAGCCACCTCTCCTCCTCCCAAACCACTCCGCAGCAAGTCAATATCCTATACGGCCTCCACAGCTCCAGCCAGGCACTCGAGCTCCCCTAGTGACTGTCAGCCAGTGGGAGGCGGGAGGAGAGAGGAGACGAGGGGCTAAAAGAGACAGAAGGATGGGAGGATTAAGACGGAGGAAGAGAGACTTGCAATTAAAGGCCTGCCCCATAAGAGCCATTAAAAAGCCAGAAACAGAGGAGTCAGCTGAAAATGCAGCCGACACACACTAAAACACCCCCCGCACACACACACACACACACCGTCATGAAGCAGCCACACTGCTGCTTACTCCCTTGCCAGAGCGCACACATGCCCATGTGAAGAGTGACAGAAGTGAGATGGTGAAGGTCGATCCTCAGGAAGTCACAGTTATCGCCCCGTAGGAAGGAAGTGATGGAATGCTGCGAGCATGCCTGGTGACACACTGACCCTTCAGGAATACTGTGAGTTAGGGTGTGTGTGTGTGTGTGTGTGCGTGTGTGTGTGTGTGCGCTAGCGGTGGCAGACACATGGGCAGGGACAAGCATCTTCCTCCAGGGATCCACTCTAGAAACCCAGACTTTCTGCATGTCTGTGTGAGTCTACATAATAATACATTACGACAGGCCCAGCTGAAAGCATACACACACACACACACCCCTATTCCTGTCTGTGTGTGTGTGCACGAGGGAGAAAAGGGGGAAGAGAGTTACTTAAGAAATATCTAACAAAGCAGAGAGGATGAGTGGGAAGTTAGATTGGAGTGAATGCTGCAGTTGGGGAAATCAAACTCCCACTCATGCATCACTGAGACTGTATCCCTCCAAAAACCGGTGGCATGCACAGAAACGTAGACAGACCCTCACACACATATACACAAGAACACACTCAGGTCCCAGGGAGGTGATTTCCTTGCGAGGGGAGTAGTCCCCTTACACTGCATTGGACTTGTCCAGAAGCCATCCCACAGGGGATTCTGTTATCAGGTTTGGCCACAGGCTGATGCAAATATACGTTTGTGTGTGTGTGTGTGCATGCGTGTGCGTGCACATTTGAAGTCTAATGATGAGCATCACCCAGACAGAGATCTGGGGAAAACAGAGCTCTCTGTAAACTGGAACTGTCACATCCATTCGAAGTGCCTGAAATGAAAGCTGCCGCTGGCTCACAACAGGAATCATTTGGCATTGAACGCTTTATTTTGGCAGAACAGGATGTAACAAACTGAAGTGTCCTTTTCAACTACACAATCCATATCTGCCTCTTCTTCTGCGTGGCAAGACTTGTATACATGTGTGGGGGAGAGAATTGCATTAGCAGTACCAGGAGAGGTCTGCTGATGCTGTAATTTGCTCCTAAGCACCTCCACTAGGTCTCTCCTTCCCAGAGCAGCCCTGTCGGCATCTGATGTTGACAGACCCTCCATTCAATACCGCTGGATGTTGCCACTTCGATGTTTTTATTTATCATTTTGCAGGCATTTGTTCTGTTTTTATTAAAATCAACCAACATTTGTAAGATTTTTCTCTTTTCTTTTTGTTCAATTCCCTTTTCAGTTTTTACATGCAAAGTAACTCTGTCAAGTTTGTCTCAGCGTGGAGTAGGATTTACCCAGTCCACAGTGACCTCTAAATTTGTCAACATAACAAAGAAAAGGTTGCTTTTCCGAAGCCTAAAAAAACCACACATTTTCCAAGCTAGAAAAACCAGAAGAGTGGCTTTGTCAAAATCTGCTTTAAGCTGACATAAAATGCTCGACATCTCTTGTAAACATGACCGTTAATGTCTCTTCTGCAATGTGTTCCTCTAATCCAGCTAATTAAACATGAGGCTCTCCACATGGTGACGGACAATGAGTAATGACAGGGATCATTTTGCTCTGTTCAAGCCATAAGATACAAAAAACAAAAAAATCAGGTTTATTGCTATCCACCAGAAATGATGTGTAGTTAGTATGATATTTCAAAACCGCCTCACTCCCTACAGTGTGTTACTTTCAACAGCTCTTATATTACCTCCACTGGCTAATACGACTGCTTAATGCTGTTTCCATAACAACTGTTGCAAAGCCCCTGATCAGAATTCCTCTCAAGCTTGCCTTGTGTTTATCATATAAACACCTCATCACACGCTGAGCAACACAAACACACACGCATGCACGAACATGGCCATAAAAGACTTCCACACACATACATAAAAATGGGCCGCTAATACCCAGTCACTTGTGTGAAGAAGACAAAAATAAATAAAAAGATCACTTGTCGCTTTTTTTTTTCTGCGTCTACTCTGGTTCTGACAGTGGCAGACACTGCATGGAACCACACGCCAACATGGATGCACACACACATGTGTGAAATGTTGGCCTATCACCAGAGGATGAGATCTGACCTTCAGTGTGTACCCGCCCCTGTCACCGAGTTAGAAAAAGACATGTGCATCACATTCATCTCTGTCACGCCGCGCTCAAACACATGCACAGACACACAGAAACACCGCGTGAAATACGACAATACCTCTCGTGTCAAAAAATGGTAGGATGCACAGATGTGACAAAGAGAATATACACACATATGCAAAGGCCCAGAGAGGCTTGGTCTCTGATGAGCCTTTGTGGAGGCTGACGCCCACATGAGTGATGGATTTATAATAAGAAAAGTCAGTCTCCCGTCTCCTTCACTCCTTCTTCTTTTAGTTTGACCCCTTTACTTTCTTCCCGTTCTCTCCGCCATCTCCTTTCCCCACTTTTTCCCTCTCATCCCCCAATTTACAAGGTCCGAATGGTGAAGGTGGCAACACACATATGCACTCAAAGCTCAGAAAGTATCTCAAAGTCTTTCAGCAAAGACTTGAGAGCGAGAAAGAGTCAGTCTCAATCCACCAGGGGAACATCAATCATATTTTTCTAAAGACTTCCCCTCTCTGGCGTACCTTACCTGTCCTCTTCCTCCTGCCTTGTATTTGCATTTAAGGAGACGGCCCCCTCTTTCCCCGCACGGAGGGTGAGCACATCAAAGACATCAACAGGTGTGTGGTGTCAAACACAATGCCAGGATTCCCTGCTGTGCCAGGGCGTTCTGCGTAAAGGGCTGTCAGAGTCCTCAAGAACTTCAACAAAGTTAACCGAGAGACAGTGCACGCACACATACGCATGCAGACGTACATTAAAGAGCCCTAATTATGAAGGTGAGTTTGTCAGTAGTTGGACAGAAAGACGCCAGGCGGTGGCTATGCTGGAGGAGGTGCTGCGGTATCTCAATGAAAGAGTCTCTCTGACTGTTGATGTTATTGTGATTGAGGAGTCTTAGTTTGCTAAGGAGAGATGGAAAGTCAGAGACACAAGACTCAAAGAGGGAAGGGAGAGAAAGAAAGTGTGTGCCACCTCTCATTGGCATA